ACCAGTGGAACAGAATTAAGAACCCAGAAAAGGACCTACCTGTCTATGGTTAAATTATATTCAACAAGGAACTCAAACCTATTAAATGGGGAAATGATAACCTCTTCAACAAATGGTCCTAGCAAAACTGGACTGCTACTTGTAGAAAGCTGAAACAGGATCCATATCTCACACCATACACAAAAATCAACTCAAGGTAGATCAGAGATCTGGGAGTAAAGCCTAAAACCATGAAGTTCATCAGAGACACCCTGGGATCAAGTTTAGAAGGCCTAGTGTCCTGTATAAAGGGACTACCAAATACAGCCAGAAATGTACAATCTGGAGAGAATAAAATTGAATGGGACCTTCTAAAGATTAATACCTGTGTGCATCAAAAATATTTTCCAATAGAGTGGAAGGAAAACCTAGTGACTGGGAAAAAAACATTTGGCAAATACCAGTTCAGACAAGGGTCTTATATAAAAAATTTACAGAATCCTACAGGGCCTCCACAAGAAATAGACTGATAACACAGTTACAAAATGGACAGAAGATATGGAAAGTATTTTCACAGAAGATATTCTTCTGGCCAACAGACACATGAAGAAATGCTCAAAATTACTGGCAATAAGAGAGATGCAAATCAAAACCACAGTGAGAGACCATCTCATCCCATTAGCAGTGGCAAAGTTTGACAGGGCAGCAAATAATAAAGTTGGAGAGGATGCAGTGAGATAAAAATTCTTATACCCTGTTGGTGGGATTGTAAAATGGTACAGCTACTCTGGAGGGCATATTGGCATTTTCTCAAAAAGCTGAACGTAGAAATTTCCTATGACCCAGCTCTTCCACTGCTTGGATATACCCAAGAAAATGAAAACGGAGATTTATACACCAATGTTCCTAGCAGCGTTCTTTACCATTTCAGGAACATGGAAACAGCCTGACCTAAATTGTGATTGTGGTCCAACCACAAACAATCAAATGGATTGAGAAATTGTAGTACATTCACAGGATGAAATACACACAACACACAGGGGCTGTGATTTTGTAAATTACTACCTAACTTGGGAGGGACTGGAAAACATTTTGCTGAGTGAATAACTCAGTCCCATAAGGACAAATACTGTATAAGAGTATTATTGTAGAGGGAGCCCTGATGGCCTAGTGGCAAGAAGCTGCGCTGTAATTCTGAAGCAGCATGGTTTGAATTCACTAGATCCTCCGCTGGAGAAGGAGGGGCATTCTCCTCCTGTGCCAGTCGGATCCTATGTGATGGTACACAACAAGGGGGAGGGGGAGAGCATTGTTGTAGAATGTGTGAAAAACAATGTATACTTTAGAAATATACCAGTATAAAATAAAATTTTCTTTAAGAAAATAGTTTGAAGGGCATTAAGTGACACATTTAAGTTTAAAAATTAAGGACCATCTAGAATGTCCCTTTGAGCTTTTCAGAGGATTCTCATCACAATTTCGCGGTGTTAAGGATGGCCGAGTAGAACAAGAAGAGGATTAGTATCTCTGTCACGGGTGCAGGAAAGATTTCAGTTCTTTGAAAGACCCTTCCATCTCTCTCGCTTCAGAAATGTCTGTCATTTAATTATTGACACTTTGAAATAAGAATTATTATCCATAGGTTAGTTTTATTATTACCCACATCATAGAAAAAAATAATTGAAAAATGGTTTGTCTGCTCATTCCAATGATAATCAAGCCATTAATTTAGTAAAATATGAATGCATTAAATTGTATCTTTTTAGCAAAAGCTAACTAGGCATGTTGGCCGTAAGACTGTAATGATATTCATGCACTGAATTCTAAACTCATATGAACAAAAATGCCGAAGAAATGTAAAGATAACCAAGTTTCACTCACAAGTGAAGACACATTTGTACCTTCTTTTCTATCCAAGGACAAATCTAGAGCCTTTCTTTCTCTTTTTTAAAAATTATCACAAGAATCCAGAATTAATGTTGCATAGTGGAGTGTACTCGGGACGGTGAGGGGGGTTGTGGGGGGATTGTATACTAATGAAATAATTTTTCTTTTACTTTTCGAAGAGAGGCGCGAACTGGAGGTAGGGATGGACAGGGAGAAAAGTGCAACAATGAATGAATGGAAATCCAAAATCTCTGTAAATGTTCATTAAAATTAATAAAATAGAAGTTTAAATAAAAAAACTAAGGACCATCATAATTAAGTAAGCATATGTTAATATCTCAGAATAGAAAATCTCAAAGGCATCTTTAGAAGGATCTAGTCCATCGTACTCTTTTTAGGTCATTTCTAAAGAGTATGCTTTACATTACATCAAGAGCTTCATCTGAGTTGTCTGACTTTCCGTTCCGTGAAGCTGAGAGCCGATGTCCCATTGGAAGAGCCTAAGACACAGAGAACTGAGTTTGATTTAGGAGTATACGATATCTGCAGAGTTGGGAAAGGATTGAGATTAGAATTTCATTCTAGGAAAGTTAATAAAAAAGATGGTGCCATAATGGGTTCCAGTTTAGGTTGCCAGTTTAAAAGATGGTAGTTCATTTCACCCAGCTGAGCTACAGAGACCTTGGTGGTGACACTTTTGTTTTGTTTTTCTCCTCGTCAAAAATTCTATGTCTAAGCATACAGTTTTATTTGTTGTTGTTGTTATTGTGTACTGTATAGTCAAAACCAACCCAATAGCTGACACTCTAGAGGATTTCAAAAGTCAGTTAATCGCAAGGGAGGAGATTGCCCACCCATCTTCAGCAGAGCAGCTGATGTACTCGAACCATGGCCTTTGGCATTACAGCGCCGCTTCTTGCCACGCCTCCAGAGCTTCTGGGCAAGTTTTTTTGTTTTAATTAGTCTATTAAATGAATACTTTTTATAGTGTACATTTCTTACTGAACGCTACTTTTTTGGAAGCCATCTTTTTTTCCAATATAAGATAGGATGTTCCTCCTCCCTTTTTAATATAAAAATATCGATGTTCCAAAAGACCAAATGTCTTCCCTAGAGTCAGAGATTTCAAAGCCTCAGATTTCAGTGGACTTTTAAAAATAACCCTTGTGGTTTCTGCTAATACATTTCTAATAAGAAGATATACTATAGTAAATACTTGGTTAACAATTGTTAGTCTACTTTTGCCCAGGCTATTTATGTATACTTTACTCAGTATTACCCTCCAATCTTAGTATCAACTTCTTTATATTTTACAGTTCTCAAAAAATTTGTTTCAAATTAAATGAACATTGTGTGCAAGCAAAATAAATAGCTGGATAACTTTAGTATAATAAAACAACTAACATTTTCATCCAAATGCCATCTAAAATCATCTTGGTTTAGTAGTATGTTATTATGTTTTGGGAAGAACATAATATGTTAACTTCTGTAATGTCTCAGTGGAGTAAAGACCATCATCCTTACATTACAGCCATAGTGCTGTAGTAACTTGGGAAAGTTATACATGGCAAAAAGTCCACATGGGCCAGTCTGTCAGATTCTTAGGCTCATGAGGTTCCATCCCATCATGGAGTCTGCTGTTTGTGTCTCAGAGATTGTACTTATCAAATGTGCATTAAAAAATGACTGGATAGGTTAAGAGATAGAACGAGGACCAATTAAAGCTGACTATCTCATGAAATACCAAAAGAAGAAACAAACAGTGTTATCTTAGAGGAAGTACGGACAGTTGTCATTGTACTTTGAGGAGAGGGTTGCAATAATTTGCCCTCATGATGTTTGGGTCATTAGAATTTGGAGGCAGTACATTCTGGCTCATAGGACTTGATGTGTAAATCCTTTCTACCATGCACGGACCCACCTGCACTCCTGGACCTATGATTTTCTTCTTATACAGCATAGCAGACTGTTTGAGGCTATCAGTTTGTGTTTCCTCAGAGTCAGTCAAGTGAATTTAAACATTCATTCTGTGTCATAATACATATAGAAAACCCTGCCTTAGGGGGAAGCACTGGAGAATTTTTTTGGACAGAGTTAAATCCTTTGGCTGAATATATAATCCTCTTCCCACTCCAAGTTACTTCATAGTAGATTCATGTTACTCCTTGACTGATGATAGTTGAGCTTATTGAATGGAGACCTGACTGCATTAAAGATTTATTGTGAGAAAAATTAGCTTTAGAATGCTCAGAATGATGGGCTGGCGAGTAAACGTGTATCTTCCTTTCTCCTGAGTTTTATTTGATCTTTTAAAGTTGCATAGCAGCAGTGGCTTTTGTATTGTGCTCTGTTTATAGATAAGGATTGTCTATCTTTGCTTAAAAACTTGGATAATACTCAACTTCAAAATTTCACTATTAATCCACTTTCCTTGTTGAACAGTATTGCTCACCTGAATTTGATACATTATTCTAGAGGATTTCAATTAATATTACTTTGTTTTTCCTCGACATAGTTTAGCAACAACTGAGTCCATAACTGCTCAGTCTCTCAGTGTGGGCTCTGACTCTTAGCCTTTCTCCAGTTTCCAAGCCTCTAAAATCATAACAGATGGAGACACCCCATCTTTCTCCTGAGGAGCCCCTGGTACATTTGAATCACCAGAGGCACCGCACTATGACCTTTGTCAGCAGTGTGATGCAGGGACAGAAAGAAATACTCATTGTCATTAAGTAGATTCGATATACAGTGACTTCAGAAGAGTGTTAGTGTATCGTTTCTGTTTTATGTATAATAATCTAGTTTTTCATTTAGCTCAGCACTTTTGACACACTTGAATAAATTTCCTATCAACAATGTGCTAAAAACATTAGCTTTACAAAGTTAAGACATTGTTTTATTTAGTTAGTATCCTGACTTTTTAAAAATCATTTTTTTTTGTGAAAATGGTTGTGATTTGTCCCAGATCACAATAGTAGAATGAGGGCTACATCACCACCTGTTCTCATCAGCTCAGTTTTGAGTCGGGGCCACCTCAGGTCTATCAGAATTCAGCTGTATACATTTCATGCAGAAGATGACCTGCAAGGGCAATAATTTATTTACTTAATTTTTTTTCTTGTTTCCTTTTATAGAAAACTAGTTGGCCAAGCCAGGAGATATGCTATTGCTGCTGAAAAGAAGAATTATCTTCAAGAGGAGTCCATGTCTACTCAAAGAAAGATTAATAGTCAATTTGACTTGGCTCTGATGAGACTAGATAATTCTGTCCGAAGAACTGGCCGCATCCCAAAGACACTTCTGCAAAAAGTTTTTGATAATGCATGCCACTCAGGTATTTCAGACTCTTCTGTTCTAAAAGTAGAACTCTTTTTTTTTTTTAAATTATTTTTGTGTGAGTGTACCATCAAATCAGATCTGACTGGTACAGGAGGAGATTGTCCCTCCTTCCCCGGCAGAGCATCTGGTGGATTTGAACCGTGCACCTCTGGGATTATAGTTGCAGTTCCTTGCCACTAGGCCACCAGAGCTCCCCTTAAAAGTAGAACTCTTGATAAGATTTTATTTTTGGGAAAACTCATTCTAGAATACATACTTGGATTTTTAAATTCATGTTGTATTTTAGTGATCTTCATTATTTTATGTTTTCATTTTATTTTACCCTCCTTTCTCTGTCTGTCAACTTAGCTGGACAGAATTGAGACTAACTAAAATACTTACTTTTAGTTGTTTATTTTAGAGTTAGCTTTTTTTTTTCCCAGTGTCTTTTGCTTTCTGTGGCTTGTGGAATATTCATTGTTGGTGGCAAATTGTTTCAAATGATAATAGTTTTCCTTCATCTTCTGTTGTATAACTCAGAATGACTCATTGCTATCAAGTCGGAACCAATTCATAATTACCGTCCAGCAGACTTCAAAGGATGTGTAAATCACATGAGAGGAGATTATCCATGTTTTTCCCACAGGGCAGTGGTTGGGTTCAAACTGCCTGCCTTTGGGTTTAGCAGCGCGGCACTTTACCCATAGAGCTTGCTTGAGCTTACTGCCAGAGCTCCCTTCTGTTGGCTAGGGTCAGTTGTGGTGTTTTTTTTTTTAAGATGCTCATGTGTGACCAATTTCCAGAGAGATTAGTCTTTCTTTTCCCTTTAAGTTTTTTTTAAAGTTTAGCTTTAAAATCTGCTTTAGTCACTTACACCTTTTATAATCTGATGAAAACTCTTAAGTGCTGTACCCCTGCCCCCCAAAAAGAAAAAGTGCTCACATGCAAATTTTGTATGTAACTTTGAAGCTATTTGCCAACTTTGTTTATTTCATGATATGTAACCAAATGAGAATGAGAGGTACTGAGGAAATAACAGTATTATTGTATACACCTAAAAATTCTTACTGTCATTTTTTCCCCCTAAATTTATAAATTTCAGTTCTTTTGTTTTTACTTTTGTAGCTGCCTGCTCTAGTGGCTTGATAGACCTGTACGGTCAGCACCACAGTCAGTGTTCGAGCTTTTTCATTATGCTATACTCCAGCCCTCATCCTCAGCCCCCTCATTCCTTCCAACCCTAGACAGCCATGAGTCTACCTTATGTTGCTGTAGATTTACCATTATACATAGGTCAATAAATGGAATAGTACACAAGGTTACTTTGTTTTATTTTATAGTCCTTCTTCCAAGTACATATAGATAGAAGTCATCAATAAAGAGAGAACGAAGTTTATATTTTGTAACTGGCTATAAACTAAAATTTTTTTATTCCTAGGTTTTACGTGTCCATAGTGTACAATTTTGTAAGAAACGTAGTTTCTTTTTACAACTTTTGAGTTGTAACAAGTGCCCATTGCAGATTAGATTCTTTAATAGTCTTTCAAGATTATATAGATTGAATATCTTAACTTTTAATTTTTTTAATTTATTATTAATTTCAATGAAAATTTACAGAGACTTTGGATTGCCATTCATTCATTGTTGCACATTTCTCCCCTCCCAACCCTCCCTCCTAGTCCACTACCCACTTGTAAAAGTAAAACAAAAATTCTTGTATTTTACAATCCCTCCCCCCAGGTCCACTCCACTATGCAGCCTTTGCTCTGGACTCCTGTCATGACAAAAATACCTAATCACATATCCCTTTTAAATGGTTTTCTCCCTCATCTGTTTCAATGCCGTATACATTATTTAACCCATCTTTCTCATTCTCCCCCACCAATCCTGAGGTCAGTCCTGTTTTATAACAGTGGCACCATGCAGTATTTGTCCTTTTGTGACTGAGATTCTTCACTCAGCATAATGTCCTCCAGGGTCACCCATTTTGAATAATATTGTATGAGTTCCTTGTTTTTCAGTGCAGCTTAATATTCCATTGTGTGAATATACCACGGCTTCTCTATCCATTCATTTATTGGTGGGCATGTAGGTTGTTTCCAACTCCTTGCTATTGTGAACAAAACCGCGATAAACATGGGTGTGCATATATCTGCTTGGATGTCATTTATGGTCTCTTTGAGGGTATATTCCCAAGTAGTGGAATTCCTGGGTCAAATAGTTTTTCTATTTGCAACTTTTTTGAGAAAGTGCCACAATGCCTTCCACAGGGGTTGCACCATTTTATACTCGCGCCAGCAGTGAATAAGGGTTCCAGTTTCTCCACAACCTCGCCAGCATTTGTTGCTTGCTGTTCTGTTAAATTTTGCTGTTCTGACTGGGGTGAGATGATATCTCATAGTTTTGATTTGCATCTCTCTTAGAGCTAGGGATTTTGAATATTTCTTTATGTGCTTGTTAGCCATTTGAATGTCTTCTTTGGTGAAGTGTCTGTTCATATCCTGTGCCCATTTTTCTCTTGGATTATTTACCTTTATCTTGTTATGGTGTATCTTAACTTTCTTAAAGCAAACTATGTTAAAAATGCAATAAAGTTGTAAATTGTACCTCTGGATAAGGATGGGATTTTTTCCAAACTTTAATTCCTTTCTTGATATTACCTTGGATGGACCAGGACACTTGAGTATGTGTATTATTTAAGTTTAGATGTTACCATTTGTTTCTATGATAGTGGTTCTTTGTTAATTAGTGTCTGCTCACTTTTTTGCAGGGAATCCCAGTGGCAATCAGGCCTTGCTTCTGCTGCGCAGCTGCGGTTCTCTCTTGCCTGAACTAAAGCTCTCAGAGCGAACAGAATTTGTACATAGGATATGGGACAAACTTCAGAAATTAGGTATGATTTTTTGTTGTTGTTGCTGTTATAGATACATATAAAAATATTTTTTAGGAGAAAAAATGATTCTTTGTATAAATTCCATTTTAGGGAAAGGATACTTGATCCATACATTTTTTGATAATATGATTTATTTAGTGAATTATGGTGACATTAAGGGGCATTAATAGTGAAATAGTTTTTCTTTTTTTAAAAAAATTTTTTCTGTGCTTGCTTCGGCAGCACATATACTAAAAAAAAATTTTTTTCTTTTTTAAATTTTAATTGTAATTTTAATGAAAGATTGCAGAAAAATTAGATTTTGATTCATTATTGTTGCACATTTTTAGCCCCTTTCCCATTCCCCAGTTGGCTTTTTAAAAATATATATTCATTCATTGTTCAATTAATAGTTTTTCTTTTTATTAACATTCTTTATATAAGTTAATGAGAAAACATAAAATAATTATTTTGTCTGTCAAAGTTACAAATGCATGTCCCATTTGGCCAAGCAATTTCATTCGTTAGAATTTAGATAAGAATATATTCATATGGGCAAAAGATCATTCTTTATTGTTGTTGCTTGTTTCTTGTTGTTATGTGCCATCGAGTTGCTTGCAACTCATAGCGACCCTATGTACAACAGCTCTAAACTCTGCTCTGTCTTGTGCCAGTCTCATTGTCTGCGACATACTCATCCCGATTGCTCCAGTCACCAAATCAATCCACCTCTCAGAGAGCCTTCCCCTCCTGCACCTGCCCTCCACCCTCCCAAGCATGATGTCCTTTTCCAAGGACCAGTCTCTCCTTACAACATGACCAAAGTATGTCAGACAAAGCCTCAGAATCCTTGCCTCCAAGGAGCAGCCCGGTTTAACCCTCTCCAGGATGAATGTTTGTTTTCTTAGCAGTCCATGGTACCCTCAGCACTCTTCTCCAACACCAGAGCTCAAAAGCATCAATTCTTCTATCATCCCTGGTCATTGTCCAGCTCTCCAACACATAACAGGTGATTGCAAAGACCATGGCCTGTACCAGATGCACCTTAGTCTCCAGTGACACATCTTTGCTCTTCAGTACTTTAGAGAGGTCCCTAACAGCAGACTTTCCCATCGCAATAAGTCTTTTAATTTACTGGCTACTGGGACCAAGAGTGTTGACCATGGAGCCAAGCAGACTAAAGCTGTGAACAATCTTGATCTCTTCACCAGCCATCCTGATGCTGCCAATTGGTCCAGTGGTGAGAGTCTCTGTCTTCTTGACATTGAGCCTCAGTCCATATTGAAGGCTGCAGTCCTTGACCCTTGACCCTGTGCAGCAAGCGCTTCAGGTCCTCCTCAGTTTCAGCAAGCAGGGCTGTGTCAACTGCATAATGCAGATTGTTGTTGGATCTTCCTCCAATCCTGATGCCGCATTTCTCCTCCTTGAGCCAAGCCTCTTAGATGATCTGTTCTGCATACAGGTTGTTTCTAGTAACAGGAAATTAAAACCAATCCTTTTATCCCTCAATAGAAGATTGGATAAATTGTGGAACTTCCTTAAAGTGAGATACTGTGCAAATGTTTAAAAAAAAAAGAATTCTTCATATGTTGTTGTTGTTCTTAGGTGCCGACCCTATGAATGGAAGGCCTGAGCACTGTACGTATGTAGAGTGTCCGGAGGCAAGCCATTTCAGAAGTGGATGCCACTCCTGCTTCCAGGCTTGTTTTAGTCAGGAAACTCCGGCAAATACTGTCCACCATGGGTAACCATTATCACGTTTGGCATATCAGTGTCCCAGTGTTCAACATCACATAACCACGAGTTACCTCTGTACAGCAATGCATAGACCAGTGCTATACCACAGGAAAACAACAATTTGAACCTGGTCTGAGGGCCCTTTGGGGATTAAAGACCCCTCCTGCCTTAAACCCTAGGTCAAGCCTGGCTTGCCTCGCTCCTGGGGGCAGAGCAGTCCTGCACATCAAACATAAGCCCGAGAAAGCACTCGACTCCAAAAGCTTGCCATGATACCTGCGCATACACACCACCATGCTCTCTCTGGCAACAAGAGTTCTTCATATACTGATGGAATATCCTTTAGATATGAATGGAAATTAAGATGCAGAATAATGTATAGTATCCTACCATTTAAAGTAAAGTGTTTACATATGTGTGTGTATATGTGTGCATATAAAATATTAAAGTACTTCTGGAAGTATATTCTAGATAACAGTAAGTGTTGGATATAATTTTTACTCTATGCCTCTTGGAACTTTTAGAATTCTGAACCATGTAAATGTAGTGCTTAGAACCTAACAACTTAACTTAGTAGAATCATCTCAGAAACATGCAGGGCTTTGTTAAAACAAAACGCAAAAACTGCTACATATACAGATACTTATTTCACAGTTTTTAATCTAGAATTCATTTTGATGGCAAAGTTTTCTGAAGCTGTATAAAATATAGGTAAATACTGGCTTTCAGGATGAAATGTTTTTACTCCTTAAGGTAACTATTAACTTGCCAATGTGTGTCTGCCCCAAGGGGAGTGGAAGAAATAAAACCTGATTGTTTCTGCTGCTTAACATTTATTTTAACCAAAACCAAAACGAGCAGAAAGCCAGAATAGATGTATGTTGTTGTTGTTTACTCTGCTTTTTCAGCCACATTCCAACTAGGGTAAATCTCCTCACAAGATTATCGAATAGAACTTCCTTCAGTTTTAGGTAGAGGTAAAGTATCCATTATGACCCAGTTTAATTTAAGCTCATGGCTTTTTAAAAGCAATATTCTGTCCCTGCTTAGTAATTCTGTTGTATCATCATGTTGCAGATGCTCAGTTATGCTATTAAAAAACCAGATGCATTGCCACTGAGGCCAGTGTGACTGTGGCAGCCCTCTGTGTGGTGTTCTAGGCTATATGTCTTTACATGAAGAGACTGATTTGAACTGTTGTCATTCTGATTAGCAGCTTGACATGCCTCCAAGGCTTCTTTGATTCTTTAGAAGGTCTTGTGTGAAATACTAGAGGTTGAGTTCTCTGACGTAAGATTTCTAACACACTGGCTGAGTTTGGATCCTAGAGTCATTACAAGCCATATGACTTTGGTCAATTCGGAGTCTGTTTTCCCCATCTTTAAGATGGTGATGATATAGGTACCTAGTGCATGGTTGTTGGGAGAATGAATTGAGCCTCTCTATGTAGAACATTTACTCAGTGCCTGAGAAGATGTGCATTCTCTGTTTACTGCTATCAAAACAAGTATTCATTTAATAGGACAGATTTCTCTTGCACAGAATCACATAATCTGGCACCAGGTGCTGACCAACATCATGTGTGACCGCAGGCAATTGAATGAAAATAGGCAGTTTAGTCAATGAAAATGTAGTGAAACATTTGTTCAGATTTGAGACTGAAAGGCCATGGTTTCAGCTGTGGAGTGGTTAAGTGTACCAGTGTCAGACTAGAAGTGGTGGTAGCAACTGGAGATGATATGATTCTTTGAAATAAAGGTTTGGAGTAAACAGGCAAAATTACCAACATAGTCTGGAAAATAACAACTGCCATCATTGTCCACCTCAGTGTGTGTGTTAACATGTTAAGGACTGCAGCATATTCTAACAGGAGTGGAGTGCTGTGCTTCATAAATAAGAGACCTCTTCGTATCTGAATAGGCAGTTATTTACAGCTATACAGTAATTACTGTCTAATATGTGTAACTTGTTCTGTTCTTACAGAATTTTAATATAGATAGGTCTAAGTAGTAAGATCTAGAGAGAGGATGAAAGGCACCCAGTGTCAAGGACTCTCCTTCGTAGGGTCACTATGAGTCGCCTGCGACTCGACGGCACTTAACAACAACAACAAGTAGTAAGGCAGATGAGTGGAATGTTAATGTATTATATACAGCCCTTTATTTGGCTTGCTTAAAGTATACATGGTTTATTTCAGTTGAGATTTAATTACTTTTCTAAAATTTTGATTTAACATTTCATTTGTAGGTACTGTTTATGATGTAAGTCACTATAATGCTTTACTTAAAGTCTATCTTCAGAATGAATATAAATTCTCACCAACTGACTTTTTGGCAAAAATGGAGGAAGCAAATATTCAGCCAAATCGAGTAGGTATTAATAAATGCTTATTGGTCACATTCACTTTTTTTTTAACCCACAGAAAGATATTAACTGGCCTATTTCATTGATAGGTGACGTATCAGAGGTTGATTGCTGCTTATTGTAATGTAGGAGATATTGAAGGTGCCAGGTATGGATCTCTATAGATAATTTTTGAACCCATAGTGTTTTTATATTTTACCTTTTTTTTTTTTAAGTTTCTTTATGTTGTTGCATAACATCAAGTTGGAACTGACGCATACAACGTACAGCTGACCCTCCAGTGGGCTGTTAGAGGCAGTATATACCCTAAGAGGAGATTGCCCATCCTGCTTCCATGCAGCACCTAGTATTAAACAGTGTAACTTTGTGTTAGGAGCATAATTACTTACCACTAAGTAACCGAAGCTCCCTATTTAATCGCTGAAATTTGGCAGTATGATTTGGATAAAATAGAAATTGTTCTGCACACAAAAAAATAGGCCCATAATTGATGGGAAATTTTATTTATTAGAATATCAGTTTAAAACTTGAGGTATAAAATTTGGCTTTATTTTTCCTTTTTAGAATATTTGCTAAAGTTAATATTCTTAGCATATTCATTTTATAAACTGGAAGATTTAATTTGTTTTACCTCCTTGATTCATATAAAATCAGTTGAAATATTTTCCTACTTGTGTAAAATTTCTCTTCTAGACAAAGGACTGGGAGAAATAGGGATAAGTAGAAATGGACAGTGTCTTCCCATGCAGTGTGCAGCCTCTGAAAACCCACTGGAGGATCAGCTATAGCTTGCTTCTGACATGACAGCAAATAATAGCAATATAGTAAATAATGACATGTAAAATCTTGTTTAAAAGTGAATGAATCTTAATAAAGATTAGTATGGAATAAACAATCAGATATTTTTTAGAATTACTTACTATTTTTATTTTTTTTTCTATAATTATATTTTATTAATTTTCATAAACATTTACAGAGATTTTGGGCTTCCACTCATTCATTGTTGCACTATTCTCTCTACCCTCCTCCCAGTTTGTTCTTGTCCAAATGCCACAGTGCTTGTCAAAGCCAGTTCTGATCAATCTTCTTTGTCAGTGTATCCTTTGCCATTCCCTATCACTCCTAAGTACCTCAAGACTATTGAGACTTCAGGAAGTAAAAAGAGTAGATTTTTACCTGAAAATTTCAAAAACAAATATGTGATAACTACGGTAAGAATAAAAATAGGATAAAATAATTCTATACACATTTCTTACTCTAAAGGCCTAATTCTGTACAATTTGTATACTATTTTATCCTGATTCTGTACTCATTTTGATGTATATTTCCCAGGAATAAATTCCTTTTTTTTTTTGTTACAGCAAGATTCTTGGGTTTATGAAAAGCAAGGATCTTCCAGTCACAGAAGCGGTGTTCAGTGCCCTTGTTACCGGACATGCAAGAGCAGAGTAATGTTCAAATTAGTTCTTGATTCCTCAGTGAGGTTTAAATGATAGAAAACTATTGTAAAATACTTGTTTATAAGCCTTATTTGTCTCTCCCCTCAAAAACTTGATTGTATGAAGTAGGAAATAGTACTTTGATAACTTAACCTTAATGTTTCACAGAACTAAACTTTAAAGGGAACTTACCTTTAAAATTAAGACTCACCTTTATAAAGAAGTATCAGCTTCTTACTGCTTTTCTGGTTTCTAGATTATATTTTCCTTTTGGAAGAATAATAATTGTTACTCTTCCTTTAGAAGATTAACTTGAACCTTTCCATTCAGTATAAGAAGACGTAATGTTTTGTGGATATTATGCCGTTTTATTTCCTTTTTTGGAAATGTTACGTGTCCCTATTTGAGATATTTATTATTTTTATTTCAGAAATATACAACCAATTTAACTTGTCCTTTTTTTATATCGATGTGACTTTGATTTGTGTTTCTTGTTGTTATGTACCATTGAGTTGCCTGCGACCCATTGTGACCTTGTATGTATAGCAGCTCTGAGCCAGTTTCACTAATTCCGACACACCAGTTTTTAATTTTAATATGCATAGGTAATACATTTTAGAGTAAATAATATAAGTGACAATTTGACCTTAGTATAATAGTCTGAAGGAGCTCTGGCACAGTGACACTTAGCTGCTCACCAAAAGGCTGACATTTCAAACATGCCAAAGGACGGAAGATTTAACAATCTGCTTCTTTAAAGATTCACAGCCTTTCGAACACTATGGGGCAGTTGGGGCAGTTCTGCTTTGTCTGTAGCATCTCAATGAACTTGGCTTTGAGTCTGGTTTGGTTTTGGAGAGTACCTTGTTTTCTTTTCCTTAACTAATAGGGATATGGAGAATGCAGAAAATATTCTTACAGTGATGAAAGAAGCTGGACTTGAGCCTGGTCCAGACACATACCTTGCATTGTTAAATGCATATGCTGAGAAGGGAGATATCGATCATGTTACGCAGGTAAGATTTCTACCATACAAATAAACATACTTTAATCATTTGTATAAACTAGCATGTTTTGTGTGAGGCAGAAAAGTATAGTTTTAAGGGTCATTCTTATTATTTTAAATTATTACTTTAACGTTGATATTGCCATTATTGTTGAAATAGACTATTTTCCTCTGTAAAAAAAAATCTTAACCTTTTAGGTGGTGTTTATTTATGTTTTGTATTTTAATTAATTTAAAATTAAGTGAAGAAAAAAAATCCTCCTAGTTTCTAACTTTTCTAATTTCTGCAATTATCTGTAGACCTTGGAGAAAGTGAAGCAGTCTGATCTTTACCTTACGGACCGTGATTTATTGCAAGTTATTTATAGCTTCTGTAAAGCTGGATATCCTCAGTATGTTTCAGAGATTTTGGGAAAATTTACACATGAAAGAAGATACATTCCAGGTAGTTTTTAGAAACTATTGTCATTTTTAGAAAAATTTGAATTGCAGCTCTCACAGAGTAGAATAAACATTTTCTAACATTAGAGGAGTGTGGATTGTGGTTGATGCACGGGCTTTTAAAGACTAAATGAAAAAACTTGGGTTCTTGAATACAGGAGAATGTTTCAATGTGAAAGTATTTCATTGTTATTTTAACATACATAGGAAAAAATCAGACCTTTTTCAATGTTTGCAATTCTTCATTTTGTCTTTAGTACTGGTTGCAGTGTGAAACTATTCAATGCCATAAAAAAAGCTATCTTGTCTTCTCAGATGCAATGAACCTCATTTTACTTTTAATCACTGAAAAATTGGAAGATACAGCATTCCAAATTTTATTAGCCTGTTCTTTGGCGAGAAAAGATGATCTCCGTGATTTTGGAAGGTTTTTTTTGCGACACTGTGTGGAAATGAATACGGTATCCTATCATTTTTACTTTGTATATAGTATAATAAGCAATGAAGTAAGATTCTTTAATATATAATGAGAAGTGTTTTGAAATTCAAAAAAGCCTGAGAACACCAACATTTTCATCATGAAATTGATGGGAGAATTTGTAGATTTTCCTGATGTGTGACTTTTTTGTCTCTTTTTAGCCTGCGGAGAAGTTAAGTGACTACTGCAAGAAGTTAAAGGAATCCCAGTTGCACTCATCTCCTTTCCAGTTCACACTACATTGTGCTTTAGAAACCAATAAAGCTGGTACTGTATATATGCTTTCAATTTTTTATTGTTTTTTAAGTGAAAGTTTTCAGAGGCAATGTATATTCCATTGAGTATTTTCATGATGTGCTTTGGTTTTTTACAGCCCCGCATTGTATCATCCTTCCTTCTGCTCTCTGTGGTTCTTCTCTCCTTTCATGCATTTATCTTTTCCCTTCCTGCCTTCTGGGGTTGCTCCCTGGGCAGCGGCTACCCTTGTGATCTTGTGTGGATGATTGCTCTAAGGAATGACAGTTATTCTTTGCCTCATGTTACTGTTTACCCAGTGTTATTGTCTGTTATAGATCTTACAGATCTATTTTTTGACTACAAGTTATACCATCGGGCTATGTTTTTAAGTTAAAATCAGCATAAATACATTTTGCTTAAGTAACTTAATATTTATGTTCTTTCAGATTTGGTGAAAGCTCTAGTGAAGACTTTTAAGGAAGAAGGCTTTCCCATCAGAACTCATTATTTCTGGCCATTGCTAGTTGGACATCAGAAGAAGAAAGATGTTCAAGGTTCACTTTTTCTTTTTGGGGTTTATGTTGGTTCAGAAATCTTGTGTACACATCATATTGAGATATTTGAGAAAGCATACTTATTCCTAAGTTAGGACATCTTCAGAGAAAATGGAATTGTCATAAGTTGTAGTAAATTATTTCAAAAACATTTTTTAAAACTAAACCCAAAGGGTTTTTCAATATTAATTTAATAATTCACCTCTGATACTGACATTCAGACTTATAAAATGTAGTTTTCAATAGCATATTATTTTTAAGTTTTTAATAAAATTCTTAGGTGATTGATGTCACATACTGTATTCCAAAAATTAGTTTTTCATCTTTAAAGAAGATTGCAAGGTAAAATTACATTTAGTCAGATTTATTACAACAGTAAGCTTGGCCTTTTTTTTTTTAACTTGTAGACCAGTCTATTTCTTAAGTGAGCTGTGTTATGGTAAGGAAAGATAGGAAAACTTTTACTGCAAAGTGAATGCTCGTGACCTGACAGTCTGCTGATTGAAGGACAGAAATGCTCAATCTTCCAGGTTCTTAAGTAGGTTTAAGCATTTATCACACTTTCCTCTGGTACACATGGGATGTCTATAGGATATGAATAAGAATTGAACAAACATTAAATTTTAGAGTACAGTATCTAATTCTTTGGTTTGCATTATTGGTAATTCAGAAAGAGTAGTCTCATAAAAAGATGCTTTTAACAGAAGTACTTCCCCCTTGGGGAAACAAAAAATGGTCTTTTTCATTTTATCTCACAGTATAATGTGCTTTAGAATGAGATGCAGAGTTGTTAGTGTGACATTGGGTGACAAAACAAAATGCACAAACAACAAAAAAAAGTGCTTTTAGCAGACTTTCATATTGCAATTTTATTTTAAATATATAGTCATCTTCTGGTTTAAAGGAATACTGAAACAAGTATTCCCTAATTGTTTCTGGCTATAAAAGTCTAAATCCTTTTTAGAAAAATCTTTGTGAAAACAATATGCTATTTGATTAACTCTTTGCATATCCTCCAGTTCTGAAACCTTCAAGGAGTAACCTTTAACTTAGTGTTTTTTAATAAGAGTTACATCATTCCTTGAAAATGATGTATGAGGCATGTTAGTATTGTCCACCTGTACACAGAAAATACTTCTGATTCTCCTGTTGAAATATTTGTTTGTTCATCAGGTAAATTTGCTTTTGTCAACTCTTTCAAAGAGTCTTGATTTGAAACAGGAAAACATAAAAGAAGACATAATCTCTCTCTTAGCTGTAGCTTGAACTAGTGATAAAAATAAGCTTTCTCTTGAATTTGTCCCTTTGCATCTCAGAATTTCTGTTTCAGGGATGTAGAGTTGTTAAAACCCTACTGTTTTTATCTGTGGAGAAACATAGTGAGTGGTAAAGAGATTCAGCATACTTTAGCTCTGTAAATGCCTTGCTGTCAGTAGTGCTAGGATTAGAATGGAGTTTTTCTCCTTCCTGTTTTGTATTATATCACTGTCGTATTAAACTTTTTTTTTAATTTCTTGTTGTGGACCGTCAAATGGAATCCAACTGCCACAAGAGGAGAATGCCCCTCCTTCTCCAGCAGAGCATCTGGTAGTTTCGAACCTCACACTTTTGGGATTGCAGCGCAGCCTGTTGCCACTAGGCCTCCCTTGTCATATTAAACTTTTAAATGTATAATGCTGCATTTATTTTGTAAAAATTCTTAGCTGTTAGCTAAAAAGTAGCTACCAATTTTTGGTACTGGGGCATTGGAAAGCACAGAAGTTTATTTTTATTGAGCAATGTGAGACTGTCACTTGTTTATAAAAACTAGATTCTTCCTTGTAAGAAGAGGTCTAAAAAGATAAAGTATGTATTCTATAGTCTTCCTGCATGTAGCAGGCTATATAGATTCCACAGTATAAATTAAGAAAGTGACATTCCTTTTTTTAAATTTTTTTTTTTTGAAAGTGACATTCTTAATTAGTGTAGCAAACTTGTTCTTTGTCTTCTTTGTTGGTTACTCCCTGTCTGTGAATTGGTCTATCAAAGTTACATGTAAATTGATAGATAGAACAAAATAATGGTTTGAATGATGTAGAATATGGAGGAGTAGTTGTTAATAAATAAACAAAACATTCAGGAAATATATTTGGAAGTTAGATAAAATGGAATCAGGGGTTTTCATTAATAGAATGATCAAGTTTCCCTTGAATTCTAGAATTTCCTATTCTCCAAGTTCTTTTTTTTTTAAATTTTTCTTGAGTAAATACCTAGGACCCAGTAAAGATGGCTGGATCATATGGTGGTTATTTAGCTTTCTAAGAAGTTAACAGATTGTTTTCAAAAGTGATTGTGTCATTTGACATGCCAACACTAAAGTGTGAGACTTATTGTTGTTCCACATCCTTTCCAACATTTGGTGTGGTCTCTCTCCAAGTTCTTTTTAAAGTTTCTGTAATGACTTTCTTATGGCTCATTGTGGCATCACCATTTTTAGTGTTACAATTATTGCTGCCTATATAAAGTGACATAACCCACAAGTGTTGGTTCTGTATCATTTCGTGTATATAGAAGACATCAAACTAAGAATGTAAGAGGATGACTTGTGCAAGGAAGTCAGAAATTAAGTGTTTGGTAAAGTAGTTGAAAATAGGGAACTTACCCTGAAAATGAAGACATTTTCTGAATGAAGCCTATAATCAGATAATTACAGTTAGTAAATGTTACTCTGATAAACCATTTTATCTCTTCTAATACTTTGTGGGTTATTTCACTTCTTTAGAACTTTTTAGAAGGATCCTATCCTTCACCTTCACAGATTTGTGTTTGTGCCTTTATATGAGATACTTTTATTATTTTATTTGTTTACTCTTAGGTTAGATTTTGTAAATTCACAGATATTTTGAGATCTATCATTAACAGAGTTAATTGAGAAATTTTATTTTTATGGAGATTTATTATAGTTTACTTGATGAATCACTTTTTATTTCCTTATAGATAAGTCTTTCCCTCTTTCATCTGGGATTAGTTATTAAAGTGAAAACTTTTATATCCTCTCAGGTTGATTGAGAAAGTGACTAAATTTGTTTAACAGAAGTCTTAGGTTTCTAAACCTGTTTTCATTTCAGCTAGAAAGACATAAGTTAAAAAATATCAGCTGTACAGACCAATTAAATGAGCAGATTGTATTCCTCTTCCTGATGAACATTGTTGAAATGAAAATTGATATTAGGAAAAAGAAATATATTTTTGCTACTATTAATATTTATTAGTAATTAGTAATTTTTCTTTTAGGTATTTTTCCTTTTTTTAAAAGAATATCACCTGATACCAGTTTATTTATCTGTGTACAATTCTGGCTTTACTAACTACCCTAAGAGATAAATAGAAAGCTTTATTATCAGCATTTCCTATATTCCAGACAAACCAGTGCTGTTGGGCAATTCTGATTCATAAGTGACCCTGTTAGGGAACAGCCCATGAGGGTTTCCAAGTCTGCAAATTTTTTGTAAAAGCAGACTGCCAGCCCTTTGTCTCATGAAGTAGTTGGTAAGTTTGAACTGCTCACCTTTTGGATAACAACTAAAAGACTTAACCAGAAGTCAGTATAGGATTCCTACTGCTCCGCCTATGATCTTGGAGAAATCACTTAATCTTACCCTTTCAAAATGAAACTGAGATGTGTTCCGGCTTTGTCTGCAGAGAAAGGTACATCCCCCAATAGACTGAATTGAAAACATGGTTTCTAATATATATTTGCTGTTATATGTGGTCAAGTAGGAACTGACTCATAGCTGACCTTCCAGCTGGTTTTCAGAGACTGTAAATCACTGGAGATGAGTTTGTCTGTCTTTTTCCTGCAGAGCAGCTGGTGGATTTCCTTTCAGTTGACAGTATAACTCCTTACTCACTAAGCTACCAGAGATCCCTAGATAGATATTTATGTTCATGTCTAAGTTAAGCTTCTTCTCATGCTAAAACATTTTCATACTGTCTTTAGTATTCCCTTAAGCTTAGATCACAAGAATTTCTTTTGTTATTTGGTGTGCGGTATTTACAATTTCTGGAACTTTGCTTATTTCAGTAGTTATTTGTTGAAACCTCTCATACATAATTGTTCCCTTCATTGAGTGCCTTAATATACATGCTTTGTTTAGTTCATTTATAGTAGTTAGAAGGGTTAAGCAAAGCAATATATAGAAAAGTGTCTGAAAAGTATTTTCATTGTTGCTAATTCTACTATGTAAGCCAAGAGTCACATGCTCAGAAAGGTGAATTTACTTGCTCAGAGTTGACACTGCCATTAAGTGATAGAACCAAATCTGAAAGCAAAGTCTCTGTAAGCTTTTCATACACTTCACCAGAGTGTTTCACTGTAAACCCAAATATTTACCTTAAACCAAAATCACAGCAGCAACCATTACTGGTCAAGAAGGATGTTGGCAATGTTAAATAGATCATCACTAGTAACTGAAGGTCACTTAGCTTTGTCATCCATCAGATGCTTGTGAGGAACATAATGGGATGCATGTGTAATTGCTTCAATTTATGCTAGTTACAAATAGTATATAGTACTGATTTCCAGGAAATTATTTGATGAATAGTTTTAAATTTTGCTAATAATTACTGCAAGTTCTGGTGGTGCTGTGGTTAAGACTGCTAAGCAGAAAGTAAGCCGTTCAAACCTACCACTTGCTCTGTAAGAGAATGACGTGACCATCTGCTTCCGTGGTCACTACCTCAGGACTCCCACATGGGAGCTCCAGCAGCATTGTCTGTGGAGAGTTTTGCTATTAACCCAAGGGTGGCACCTCCCTGGTGGTTAGATCCACCAGTGGCTCCACAAGACAAAGGGGCAGTCTCCACCTGTCTCAATACCTCATTGCTGTTGAATAGGAGTCAACTTGCAGTGGACCTTCTAGCAAGTCTGCAGAGGTAGTAAATCACATGGGAGGAGATTGCCTCTCTTTCTCCCAACTTGACACTGGTGGATTCAAACTGCCTTCCTTTGGATTGGCAGCAGAACTCTCCCACTCTGCCACAGAGCTCCAGAGTGTGAGGGTCAGCTATGTGTCACCTCTTATGGTGGGATGATTCTCCTCTGACTTATAGGATGCTGTGAGTTGGAAATAATTGACTTGATGGCAAGGAGTTTTAGTGGAGTAACTACATGTGGACAGCTTTTCCCATGCTATTTAACTGCCTCTGAAAACCCACCAAGAGTCAGCCATGGGTCAGTTCTGACTCGATGGCAAAACAACAAATTTATAGTAAACTAGTCACTTTTTTTTTGCTTTTTAGTTGTTTTGCATTGTTATTTTTACATATTGAAAAATGTGTAATATACATTTAAATGAGTAGAGTACATTTAAACTTCAAAGATTTTGAAAATATTAGCTAATTGTAAATATGAAAAAGCTCCTTAAAATACTGTCTACTTGCAAAGAAATAAACAGATAATCACTCTGACTTGCCCATAAATTTCTGTCAGAGCATATTACCACTGTTTAATTTTTTTTTTCCCTAAAAGGATATTGTAGAGTAAATCCACATTTTTTGAGGGGAATTTTAATAATGTGAAAGTAATAAAGCATATATAAATTTTAGAGAGGGAAACAATTATATCCTTTCTATAACCAAGCCTATTGCCGCTGAGCCAATTCTAGCTCATAAATGACCCTGAGGGACAGAATGGTATCGCCTTGGAAGATTTCCAGGGTGGTAAATCCTTGTAGAAGCTAACTGCTGCTTCTTTCTCCCGTACAGTAAAACAATCTCTGTCAAATCACTTGACACTTGAGTAGTTTGACAGTTTTCTAGAACTAACTGGCTCTGATATGAAAAATGAATATATACCATTGAAATTAACTAGTTTTGGGAAACATGCATTGGCCTCTTAAGTTATTTAAAGACTTTGAGAAAGGAAAGAAAGCTCATTTTTAATTGCTTTAATAAACAGACAACAATTAGAACCAAATTTTTCTGTTTCTTTATTCTTATATTGTAAAATAGGAAGAATTCAGAGTTAGTAACAATTAGGGTTTGGGTTTTGATTTTCGGTGTTTTGTTTTGTTGGTTTCCTGGGGGTTTTTTCGTTAGTGTAAGTATTTAAAAACACTTTTGAAACGGATTTTGTCTTTGACAAATTCCCTCTCGTTAATAACATCAACCCTGTAAAATCCTGTCTTTGTGCAATGCTTTTCTCAAAATATTTCGTTGTGTAGGTACAGCATGATGTATGATCTCTTTCATTTTTGACATCACATATGTTAGACATGCTACTTAATTAAGTTACAGCTTCTAGGGTATATTCTTAGTACTCACCACTAAATTAATAGGCAGCAATAGAGAAAGGAGAAATGTTTTTCCCTTTGTCCCCAATTTTTTTAATCTGAGTTCTGTGTTAGATAAAATCAAAATGCTAAGGACTTTTCCTACATTGTGATTCAGAAAGCAACTAAAGCGAACTTTTTTTAATCTTTTAATTTATTTCAAATTTTTCACCTTTGTGCTACCAAATTTTATCTTACAGGTATAATTGAAGTTCTCAAAGGAATGCAAAAAATAGGAGTAAATCCAGATCCTGAGACTTATATAAATTATGTGTTTCCATCATTTGATAGTGTGAAGGCTGTACGTGCCAGTTTGGAAGTGAGTATCAGTGTAGTTTTAATTTCTTAATTGGATAGAATTTTCCTCCCTCTTGTTTAATAATGAACAAAAGACAATGCGTTTTAAGATTTGTTTTCCAAAGCTTAATAGAATTAAAAGGATAGAATAAATCTGAATTAAACATAAAAAGAGAAACCAGAATTTTTCTTGTTTGTTGAAAAGACAATGTGCTGATAACAGAAGAAAATGAAGTAAAGCAGTATTACTGCTTACTCTCACCATACAGCTGTAATTTAATTTTTTAAATGCTCATTTGCAATGTGCATTTTTAGAAATGCAATCTCATTGTAGTTCTTATCTTGTGTTTGGTGTTTTTTTTGTTTTAATATTATTAATTTAATAAAATTGCATTAATGAGGGTTGCACTTTTCTGTTTCAGAGCAAAGAACTTTACAATTAGGAATGATGTGACAGGATACCAAATAATTTAATAAATTTTTTCTAAAGATTTACTTCCTACGTATTTACTCACATTGTTAGTGTTCATTTCTTTCCTTCAAATAATTAATTATAAACTTCTTTTTCTTTATTTTAATTCATTCATTGTTGTACACTTTCCTTCCTACCCACCCCTCCCCCCAGTTGTCTTTGAGAAGTAAAAAAAAAAGAAAATTCTTTTATTGTTATACAGTCTTCCCCATTCCCCAGTCCACTACACTATGCAGCTTTCATTCTGGACTCTTGTCATGACAATAATACCTAATCATATATACCTCCTAATCCGTGCTCTCCCTCATCTATTTCAATGCAGCATACATTATTTATCCTCTCTTAGTTTCCCCCCCAACCTTGATGTCAGTCCCGCTGTACAACAGTGGCATTATGCAGTATTTGTTCTTTTGTGACTGAGATATTTCACTCAGCATAATGTCCTCCAGGGTCACACATTCTGTATATTTCATGAGTTCTTTGTTTTTCAGTGCAACGTAGTATTCCATTGTGTGAATATACCATAGCTTCTCTATCCATTCGTTTGTTGGCGGACACTTAGGTTGTTTCCAGCTCCTTGCTATTGTGAACAAAGCTGTGATAAACTTGGGTGTGCATATATATGCTTGGGTGGCGGTTATGGTTTCTTTGGGGTATATTCCCAGTAGTAGAATTACTGGGTCAAATGGTATTTCTATTTGCAGCTTTTTGAGAAAGCGCCATACAGCCTTCCATAGTGATTGCACCATTTTAGACTCCCACCAACAGTGAATAAGGGTTCCAGTTTCTCCACAACCTCACCAGCATTTGTTGTTTGCTGTTATGTTGAATTTTGCTATTCTGTTTGGGGTGAGGTGATATCTTGTAGTTTTTTTTATAATTATAAACTTCTTGAAGGTATGTGCGGTATTGTTACTTCACTTTCCTAAGAACTTAGCCAAGTATTGTGAACCTATACTACACATACTAAAAAAAATAACAACAAAACCCAAAAAACTTTCCCCACGTTTTCTTATTTACCCAAATAGTTTTTTATCCTCCTACTCCAAGGAATTCATTGTCTTTCTTTTTTTTAATTGTCTTTTTGATACTGTTTTTTTTGTTTCTCACTAGTCATTTAGGGAGAACAAGATCTAATTTGAACTTACCTTAAATTTGATTACATTAATTTTTATATCAGCTACCTTTTTGTATCCATTGCTCAAAAGTTTTAATTAAGTCGTATTGTCGTAGAATATTAATTCGCTGTTACCTTTAAGTGCACATGCATGTACTGCACTAAAAGCTTTTTGTATGTATTTTTGAATATATAGTTGTAACAGAAGTTGTAGATGTGTTAGAAAAAAGAAGTGATACTTTTAGAATATATAGTTGTAACAAAAGTTATAGATATGTTAGAAAGCATACTTACCCAAAGTTGTTACATAGATGTAACATACTTGTAGATGTGGTTGAATTATTGAAAAGTGTTTTTTGTTTTGTTTTTTAAAAAATGAGTATATTGCATGTATTCACCAGCAAACCCACTTTTCTTGACTTGGTACATTTCCATAACAGAATGTAATTACACGAATTCTTTTCTAGTCTGCATTCAGGGATTGTTGTAGTTTATGTTCTGTTGAGTCTGAGGCATAAAGTCCCTGTGAACAGGGGTTGGCACTTTGCCCTCTTCTGCACCACCCTCACAGTCCCTGCCATGCTCAGGCCCTCGGGCCTCAGGCACAATGACTGGCAGCAGAACCCCAGGGAGAGGGGACTAAGCCATGCAGTCCATTTGCACAGGCAAATGCAGACCTCCGTTTCACCACCACAGTGTGCACGGACTGTGAACATAGGTGTTTTATAAGTCCTTGGATATGTTATCACTTTGATTCCAAATTGCTACAATAAAGCAAATTTACCAGTAATCCTGATAACATTATAAAGTGTGATATATGAATATTTTATTTCCTTGTTTATTTAAAGGTTACACTTAATCTGTTTTATAGTCTATTAAGTGTGCAATAGCATTATGAAAGAGTTTGAAATATTGCATGAATAATCAAGATATGACAGACAAAAAATCAAGAGACACAAAACTATTCAACTTGCTGTTGAAAAAATTGTTCATCAGAGATTTAGCACAAAACACAATATACTTGTACTGTTTAATTGTAGAAGCTGTCCATGAGTTCCAAAGGTGAGCCATTCCTAACAGTGCCTTTAAGAATTTATTTGTAGATCAGTTAGAACAGGTAGATCAGGTTCTTATTTAACCTTTACTTAACCTTTACTTTTATTTAATAAAAAATCTACATATACAGTAAGTGAAAGTGTCCAAAAGAAATTGTTGGGAATAAGGGTTGGTTGGGTCAGTATTGGGGCACATTTACTAACGTTAAAACAAGACTTCAAAGGTGCTGGAATCCTGGTCAGAGATTATGGCGAACCACAAAACTTTGGGTGTGATGCAACAAGCTACTTGAAAGAACTCACTAAGCCTCTTCTGAGTTTGTCCCATGACAGCTTTGACCCATAATCTTTCTCATTACCAAAATTGTAAGAATTCCAATCTGTTGCTATATTTGGATTGCCTATAACAACTGGTTTGAAGCTTTGTATTTAAAAAGAAGTAGGTATTGTCAATAAATTGCATATTCATAACCCCAGGATTTCCTGTACAGTTGTAACATTTATTTTTATCTTTACTTATTATTTAATAGTTAAGTGTTTTTCAGTATTCTACTATTTATAAAATGATGTACTGAATATATTTGAACTAAATTTCATTCATGCCATTAAGCTATTAATTAAATTATGATAGTAGGACAAGTAATTGATCATTTGGAGTTATAAAACAATAGACGTGACTAGATTTTATTTTTGTCTGAATGAGTAAATGATTCTATTTTCTTCAGTAATAAACATCTCTGAAGGGTAACAGATTACCTGTAATTTGAAGGTATACCTTTTACTTGAAATGTTAGAATTTCTTTATCATACACCTTATGCTGAAGTATCACTTATTCAGTTTATATATTCTAGAAATTTATAAATGAGTTTTTCAGAAGTGATAAAAAATGGTAAAAATTTCAGGGACAACAGAATCCTTTTAACTAAGTCATATTATCATTAAAATATGTTTTATTCCTAGGAAAATGGATATGTTCCTGAAAATAAAACCTTTTTGCAAGCTGAATTGAAAAATGAAGCATTAAAGGGGAACTTGGACTCTTTTTTATCATTTTGTAAGTATGCAACATTAAATATAAGCTTGACAGATGTCGATTTTGAGTTCTGTTGATGTCATATAAAACAGTTCATGTATTATAAGCAAGGTTGTTTTTGTATTTTTTTAAGACCACACTGATAAGACATGATGTAAGTTGAACTAATGGATAATTTGGAAGTAATTTTAATGCTGCAAGAACTTGATGCATCATAGTGTTAGATACAGGTTGGACTGGGGTTCCAGTTGACCTGGGTTTTATTTATTATTTATTTCCTGATTGTGTGATTTGTAGTAAATCTATGTGTTCCACTTTAATAAGAGTATTACTTCTTATCTCTCTACCTTGAGAGATTTGGTTTTGAAAATGTTTTCTAAACTATTATTATTGGTTTTAATATATATATACACACATACTATATATAAATAGATAAAATTATTAACAAAAAGGTCTATTATTAATATATAAAATTAACTATATGAATATAAAATATAAACTATCTTCTAGACCTTGTTGGAGGGAAGAATATCCCCAAATGAAAAGTACAACCAGTGTTTATTAAAAACATTTATGTATGCCAGACTACTTAATTTTTTTAAAAAAAATTTTATTTTAATTTCATGAACATTTACAGAGATTTTGGATTTCCATTCATTCATTGTTGCAGACTATATATATTAGTAAGTTACTTCTACTTACATATGAAGAAGGACATTGTAAGATGACTATCTTCCATTCTTTTTTAACATACCCATCACAGTACTTGGTAATTTCCAGATTTTGTGAAAAGTGTATCCTACATACATACTAATTTAGCCCCCTAAACTGTAAAAAATTAAGCTCTGACTAATATGTATTAGAATTGTAAAGGTGATTACTTTGTAAAAACCAAATTATTACTATACATTACCCTTGGGTTACTTAAAATAGTTCATAGTATTATGAAGGAAAAGCAAGTGTCCAGTATAAAAAATAGTACAGAGATGTAACTGAGTAGAAGGTTAAATATTAATACTGGCAGTTAGCAGAGTGTACTGATTTTCTTTCCACTTGTGTAATACAGATTTTCCATACTGACAAGATGAAAGTAGGAAAACATTAGCAGAGGAATCTGGGAACACACGGTTTATACATGAGAACTGCTTTTTCCTTTTATTATACAGTCTGTTCCTCTTCATTGTCAACCTCTTGATTTTTCAGACTTGTTTGTTGCTAAGGTAACTAGGTGCTTTTTGTTAGCATGCTCAGATGTTTTGGTCATCTTTATGGAGGTTGGTTTTCTTTTCGGTCATCTTTTTCATGAATAAGAAACTTGGCAATATTCTTGTAAAATTCTATTAAATAGTGTAAAAAATAAATTTCCACAAGGATGTTTAGTTTTTGGTGTTGTTGGTTTCTTTGTTTTGTGGTTTTTTTTAAATTTGCTTGGAACTCTAAGGCTAAAGACTATTTGCATTTGTTCCTGGTGCCCTCTGTTCCAGCTCTGATTTTCAGGTCTTTACAGGGCATTTGTTTTATAATTACTAGTATTTGCAGTAGGTAACTCCTTGGTAATCAGGACTGGTTACTACATCACACTGGTTACTACATCACAAGTAGAGAAGGGTGAGTGGGCCCCTGCCCATCATATGTGGGGGGAGTAGCAAACATTTTCTCACTTGTTTTGTGGACATGGAACATGACTAGAAATCTAATCAAACAATATTAGACGAAGTTGCTGAGAGGCATGTGTTTGTATACACTTTAAAGTGCCGTTAAAGCCCAGGTCAAATTTCATGATTTTTACATTTCAAAATGCTATAAAACCACTAAGAAATTTATGTTCTCTGTTGAAGGAATAGAACAGCTGAGTTAAAATAATTCTCCCTATGTATATGGGATAATTTTTAGTTTACGGACATTGAACAAATGATCTATGAATTCCCATGAGACTTTTTGGGTATTTTTCTGTTTGTTTTTAAGTTAATCCAGCTATCTTCATTTTCACCTAAATTAAGAAATTAAGAAATCTCTTTTCAGAATTTTCCTCTTTTGAATTCCTCTCTAATTGCTTCTGCATTGGCTCATTGAGTAGCCAGTTCCATTTATTATGAATGAAGTAACTTAGGTACTTGTTATATGATGCCCATTTATCACACTAGCAGGGTGAAACAAATTCAGAAAGTATACCTTCTATGATCCTCCTGTCCCTTACGAATCATGACAGGGATTATGTGAAGAAAAAAGTCCTGATTTATCCATTAAAGCAAATCAAGCTTATAATGTCTGCATTGAAGCACATAAGTTGTCGGCTGTTAAATGCCAATAAGAGTAGTAGAGCAAACAAATGCTCAGAGAGCAATATACTAAGTCAGCTACACGATAGATGTGAAGATCTCTGGTTCTTTGGCTTACGGATGTCACCCTTTTTTTTAAAAAAAAATGTTTATTTTTTGATGCATGTACCGTCAAATCATATCTGACTGGTACAGGAAGAGATTGTCCCTCCTTCTTCAGCAGAGTGTCTGGTGGATTCGAACCACACACCTCGGGGATTACAGTGTAGCTTCTTGCCACTAGGCCACCAGAGCTCCCTAGGATGTCACTCTTGTATGAGTGTGAATCATATATTGGAACAGAAAATAGAATGGGAAAGTGTGGGTGGTGTGTAGAACCCAACACCAGTCTCAGAAGAACTTCCTCCTGCCATCTGTTATCTTTAAAGGACAAACATCCAGTAGAGTATTCCTGAAAAAAAAGAAAAAAGCGAAGTTTTTTGTTGTGAATATGTGATTGTATTGCATTGGCTAATTTTGTATGCAAGCATTTTTATTTTTAAAATAAGACTTCAAAAATAAAATTTTTAAAATGTTGTACATATGTTTTCATATAAGTTAATTTTTCTTTTTCCTTGACTGAAATTTGGTGTTGGTCCTTTTCTTTTCTAGTGGAATCAAATACATCACCTATGTCATTGAATTATTTGAGAGGCAGCCTGATTTTAGGTTTTAAGAGGTAAGATAATCCATCTATCCATCTATCTATCTATGTTGTCATTCATTTACACATGCTTTCTAAGAAATAATATAGCAGATTTAATAAAGGCGTTGTTCAAGAAAGAACTGTTTAAAAATGGCAGATTTCTGTAATAGGGGAATTTGAGTGTATGTTTGGTTTATACTTTGAATATTTCATTACAAAATACCTTTTATTAACTAAATCTGTTTTCTTTCTCATTAATTTCTGTGTGTTCTATGTGTTCATCTCCTTCTGTCCAGTTTTTATTAATTTGAAAATGTTCAAGCACAAAGAAATGTTGGGAAAAACAGTTCTGGAAACCCTCATCTATGTGGAGCCACCATATTTATCATATTTATTTGCTCTTTCTCAGATACACACTTTCACTAATATGTGTGTGCATGCATCACTTCCCTACCTACCTGCCTGCCTCATGGTTGATGCATTAGTTCCAGCTTACAGCTACCCTATGAGGCTTCCCATAGAATTTGTACATTTTTACAGCAGTACACTGGCCATAGAGCTTAATCTGCTATACTTCTCGGGCTTCATGTACACTGTTTTTCCTCTTCCCCCACCTCTTTTTTTTTCCTTCCCTCTTTACTCTGTCTACACACACACACACACACACACACACACACACAGAGAGAGAGAGAGAGAGAAATATGTCATTTCTTGAAATTCTTCTGTGTCAGCCAATTCTTTTTGGTATAGTGACTCTGTAGTTTCCCGGGTCATTCAGCTTTCGACCTTCAGCATCCTTAAGTATTGGCAATTCGAGGTTTGAATTTATTCTTCAGTTCCTTCAGCTTAAGAAATGCCGAGCGAATTTGTCTCTTTTAGCTTTCCAACTCCAGCTCCTTGCACATTTCATTTTGCTTTGTCTTCCTGAGCCGCCCTTTTAAATCATCTGTTCAATTCCTTTACTTTTTTATTTCTCCGCTTTGCTTTGGCTTCTTGGCATTGTTCAGAGTCTCTTCTGACATCCATCTTGGTTTTTTCTTCCTCCTCTGTCTTTGTAATGACTTTTTTGCATTCTTCATGGATGATATTTCTGATACCTCCCACTGGTAATCTGGTATTCACTCATTAGTTTCAAGGCCTCAAACCTGTTGCTGATATGGTCTTTAAATTCTAGTGGGATAAACTCAAGGTCAACTTTGATAATTGTGCATTTGATTTTATTTTCTTTAGCTTCAGTTTAAACTTGCATGTGAGTAATTGATAGTCTGTTCCATAGTCATCACCTGGCCTAGTTTTCACAGCTGATATTGAGCTGCTCTGTCGATTTTTTTTCTGCACGTGTAGTCAGTCTGATTCCTGTGTAGACTGTCAGGTGAAGTACATGTGTATAGTCGTCATTTATGTTTCTTACAAAATGTATTTGCAATGAATAAAGACATTTATTGTACAAATTTTGTGCTCATGCGAAACCTATACTTGGACCAAGCAATAATCAGAACAGAGCAGGGAAACACTGCATCGTTCAGGATCAGGAAAGGTGTGTGTCAGGGATGCATCCTATCTCCATACCTTTTCAATCTGTATGCAGAACATACCATCCAGGAGGCTGGACTTTATGAGGAGGAATGATTGGATTGGAAGACTGATCAACTGATCAACAGCCTGTCTTAAGCAGACAGTACCACCTTACTTGCTGAATATAAAGAAAATACGAGGTGTTTATTGTAGAAGGTCAAGGACTGTAGTCTTCAGTATGGATTGAACCTCAGCGTCAAGAAAACAAAGATTCCCACCCCTAGGCCAATTAGTAGCTTCATGATAGATGAAGAGATTGAAACTGTTAACAGCTTCAGCTTGCTTGTTTCCACAATTAACACTCTTGGCACCAACAGTGAAGCAATCAAAAGACAAATTGCATTGGGAAAGTCTGCTATCAAGGACCTCTCTAGAGTGCTGAAGAGCAACAATGTCAGTCTGGAGACTAAGGTGCACCTGATCCAGGCCATCATCTTCTGTGTTACTTGCTATGTGTCAGAGAGCTGAACATTGACTGAATGATAGAAGAAGAATCGCTGCCTTTGAGTTGTGGTGCTGGAGAACAGTGTTGAACATACAGTGGACTGTCAGAAGAACAGGTCTGTCCTGAAGAGGGTGAATCCAGGCAGCTCCCTTAAGGCAAGGATTTTCAAGCTCTGTCTCACATACTTGACCATGTGTCAGGAGGGACCAGTCCTTGGGGAAGGACATCATGTTTGGAAGGGTGATGGAACTACACAGGAGAAGAAGACCCAGGAAGGATAGGTTAACTCAGTGACTGGAGAAATGGGAGATTTCGTATACTAGAGTTGATGAGATCAGCTCAGGATAGGGCAGGGTTCAGAACTATTGTACTCTGTGGTCGCTATGAGTTGCAGGTGACTCGACGACACATAACAACATTCAAAACATAAAATCACCATAATATTAACACACTTGACAAAAAGTAGTTAAAGAGGGGAATTCATCAAATTTTCAAAGGAGTCTGTGATAAGGTAAAAGGGGAAGAATCATTGCCGATCTTGTCACGTCATATAATGCTGTTTTAGCCGTTGGCGACTTATGTCCTTATAAACAGATTTTCTTCCTTGCTCCTTAGATGTGGTAAGCCTCTATAAACTTACATACTGTAAGATTTAAATTTGTTTCTAGCCGAAACCTCCTTTCTCCCATAAATAATGACTACATTTTATTCACCTGGTTATTTTACCTTACTGTTGTTTAAAGCATTTTCGCTTCATATTCCCATTTTTCACATGCCCGTTTTAATTTTTTTCCATTTATTTAGGAGTGGTTTATTTTCCCAAATATTTTAGTTTGTTTTAAGTAAAAGCATATTAGTTTTCACATACTCATTCATAGATAATTTTGTTTTTTACATTAAAGACTATTGATTAATGTAATTAATTCAGTAACTAAGCAAGCTTGTATTCTGTATTTCTATTCATCCAGTTTATCTACTACTTTTCACTTGCCTCTCCCTCTCTTCCCATCTTTGTAAAAACTTTCCCTTTATTTTTTTTAATTATTTTGTGTGTGTGTACCATCAAATCAGGTCTGACTGGTACAGGAGGAGATTGCCCCTCCTTCTCCAGTAGAGTATCTGGTGGATTCAAACTGTATACCTCTGGTATTGCAGTGCAGCTTTTTGCCACTAGGCCACCAGAGCTCCCCTCCTGCCTTTGATTTTTGTAATAGTGATTTTATACCATGATTTTTCTTTTGTGATGATTTCTTCACACAGCATAATTTGTTCTAGATTCATCCATGTTGTGTTTTAATAGGCAATACTTGGGATTGTTTCCAACACTTTGTTATTGTAAATAATACTCCAGTAAGCATGGACGTGTGTATGCCAATTTGTGTTGTTGCTTTTTGGGATATGTAACTAGCAGTGTTGTTGCCTGGATCAAATGGTATTTCTATTTTTAGCTTTCTAAGAAAGTGCCAAACTACTTTCCTTAGTGACTTCATCATTTTACATTCCTACAGTGTATGGGTTTTAATCTCTACCTTTTGCCAGCATTTGTTTGCTGTCTTGTTGGACTTTTTTTAAAAAAAAACTTTTACTATTCTTTTTTCTTTTATTATTTTGTGTGTGTGTGTACCATCAAATAGAATCTGACTGGTGCAGAAGGAGATTGCTTCTCCTCTAAGAGGAGCAGCTGGTGGATTCAAACTGCGTACCTTTGGGATTGTAGTGCAGCTTCTTGCCTCTAGGCCACCAGAGCTCCCTTGTCGGTTGAACTTTTCTTGTTGCCCGTTTGAAATGATACTGTTTTGATCTGCAACTCTCTAACTACCTTGAGGAGTGTTGTGGTACCCTAATGGGTGAGGAGTTTCACTGCTAATCCAAAGGCAGGCAATTTGAATCTACCCTCAATTCCTTGAGAGAAAGATGGATGTTCTCTATCTGTGCAATTTATAACCTCTGAAAACCTGCTGGAGGGTCAGATACAAGTCAGTTTCAACTCACCAGCAACACATTTTTACATTTTATGGTGATCTTGAGCATCCTTCATGTTTGTTGGCCTTCAGAATGTCTTCTGTGGAGTATCTGTTCAGGTCCTCTCCCATTTTGTAATTGGTCTTTTTCTTGTTGGAAGTTTTCTATAAACTTTAGAGATTAATCCCTTGCTATATGTATTATCACCAAATATTTTTTTTCCAGCCTATAGGCAACATGTCTTTTTAATGTACAATTTTTATTTTGAAATGACTTGACTGCTACAAGAAGGTTGATGATTCAAGTCCCCTGGCTGCTTCATGAGAGGAACAGGGCAGTCTGCTTTTGTGGAGATGACCCCCTTAAGCTTGCCTGGGGGTTCCCATGAGGCAGAACTGACTCTGATAGCAGTAAGTTTGAGGTGTTTGCTAAGGTGGGACATATGGAATCACAGAAAGTTGAAGAGATAGAATACTGAGAGCCTGTGTATTTTTCTTTAATAACTAGTACACTGCCAAAACCAAGTTTTCACATTGAGATGGTCTGTGTGCTTAGTTCTGTTATCACCTGTGTAGATTTGTGTACCCACCTTTGTAGTCCTCTGTGTACCTCTTTGTATAGTCATACTTACTCCCCATTCCCTTATCCCTCCTCCCACCATTCCTAATCCTTGGCTAATTTGTTCTCTGTCTATAATTGTGTCATTTCACAAATGTTATATAAATGGACATAACATGGTATACTGTCATACTTGAGGTCGGCTTTGTTTTCACTCAGGTAATCCCTTTGAAATTCATCTAGATTGTTTCACATATCAGTAGCTCTTTCCAGGCATATTTTTTAAAGTAAAAAATAAATGTTCTGCAGATAACCTATATGGAAATCCTATATTAAAAAATTTTAAAAAGCGTTTTCATTTTTTGGATTTGTAAATGTAGGGGTTTTTTTTTTAACATTCATTGCCTATCTGCCATTAAAACACCACTAGTTTTCTTAAGGTAAATTATGTTTGAATTAAAATTTTTTTAATGATTTTAAACGTAGTCTTTAAAAGAGTGCAAGGGCTCAGTCGAGACCTCCAGGACAGCAGTGAACCATCAGATTGAGCCAGCACTAGACATCTGCCCCACCCCTCTGCAGAGCCCACTGGACTTGGCAGCTCTGGTATGGACAGTGGACAGTGGCAGGGGCAGGGGTTCCAAAGAGTTCAGTGAGGCCCACCACTCCTGCAGCCCACCCAAGGAAGGCAGTGTTCGATGGAAGCTGGGAAAGAATCTCTTCTTTCTCAGAGGTTTGCCATCCAGATTCCCCTCAGTAGAACTGGAGGCAGGGAACCTATGGGGAGAGGCAGGCTGGCTGGCTGACTCCCCTGGCCGTTGCAGAACAGAGCTGCCTGAACCCACTCACGCAGGAGGACGCAGGGGCAGAAGTGTTTTTAAATATGTGTGTGTATCTTTTTTTAAAGCTCTGAGATGTCAACAAGACAGTTAAAATCAGAATTCTTGCAGAAGTCGTATCTAGAAAACCTTTGTTCTTTGATTGTCCCATTCTGTAATTGATTTTCTCCCAGGTAAAATTTGGACAAGCCATGCTTTTCTTTTTTTTTTTTTTTGCTTTTGTCTTGTAATATTTTTAAGTTTGTAGAAAGTCAGTTAATTGATTACCCCGTATAGGCTTTTTACAGATTCATCATCTTTTTCACATTTTACCAGATTGTTTTTATTTGTTCCCACCTCCGTCCTGTCACCTCTCTGTATGAGGGATTACAGGGATGGGTATTGGTTATTTTCCTTGCTAATTTTTAATCTAAAAGACTTGTGCAAGTCTGTCCTTTATGTATGACATAAATTCTTTTATGTATGACAGAAATGGATTCTTTTGAAGAATCCAAACTAGATATTTTCTCAGGTTATTCCTCCCAAGCTGGAAGACCGTGTGAGTGAATCTTGCCTTCTCTGGGACCCAGACTTACGAAGTCTATCTCATTAGGGTATCAGTGTTGATCACAGGGTCAAGATGTTGAGTTCTTTATTGCATAGTATTTATTCTGTCACAGGCCATATTTATCCTGTGGCAGACACTATCAGATCGTGCAGATATCCTGCTCCTAATCACTAAAATTGAAGATTTAAGAGTTATTGATGATCATTGGGCCAAATCAGTCTTCATTTTAGGGTTTTACAATGGGTGAAGCCCAGCCTTTCCAGTTATGTTTTCTGAAAATGTACTTTTTTAATTTAATCTTTCTTTCGTTAATGTAAGATTTTGATCTGTATGTGTAATTAAATAATTTGTAGTGTGTTGTAAATTACATTTTTGAAATATGTTTGGTTGCCTTTTTTTAATGCTCTGCTGCCCTCTGCAGGTGCATGGATGTAAATCTTTGGAGCAAGGTAAGTTCTAGTACTGCAAGTTATAAAGTGCTGTCTAAAATAACCAGTAAGAACAAAAATTAAAATAACTTTATACCCTCATAATATGTTTAGAGTAATTTTTAAAACATTTTTGAAGCAAATAGTTTGGTTTTTTTGTTTTTAAAAAAAAATTTTTTTTTTTAATTTTTTTTTTCTGTGAGTGTACTGTCAAACAGATCTGACTGGTACAGGAAGGAGATTGTCCCTCCTTCACCTGCAGAGCATCTGGTGGATTCGAAGAAGCAAATAGTTTTGAAACTGTTTTCTGTAAACACAAAATTATGTTTTATATAATTTTTACCTTTTGTCTTAAATTCTTCATAAGGTTTTCAACTGTTCAAAAAGATAACTGTTAACATTATTGTATTGAAATTTGGCATACATATTTTTCAAACATATAGGTATATGTGTGTATCCACATTACAGAGCCAACTTTAAGCTACCACTATTCAAAAATATTAACTGATTTCATGCATGAAGCATGACTACCCAAATAATTGAATTGTAAGAATATTAGCATCTGAATTAAGTATATACATGTTTAATTAAGTATATCATGTATTTGGCTTAAAATTCTAAATTTGTGTATTTTTTTAAAATCTACATTTTATTCTATTGTTATTATTACTTGTATAGCCATCAGTGATTGGGATATACTTTTTTACTATAATCTTTATTGATTTATTAATAAAAAATATTTTTATTGAAAATACAGTATCATGTGACTGCCTAGTGTACAGCTGTTGTGCCTGTTATCTGTTCTACTTATATTTGTTAGTTTCAAAGCCATTTATAGACTTAAATGATTCTCATTTCTGTCTTAATTACACTTTGAATTGACATTAAATACAACATAATTGTGGGGGATGAAGTAAGGTATTGTCCATTTTGTCTAATTTTCCAGATTAACAGGGAAATAGTGGCGATAACTGTAATTATGACTTGTTAGAAAGTATAACAGTGTGTTCCAGACACTGCCATAAGAGTTTATCTGTTCAGCCAGTATATACAGATAATGAATTCTGATCTTAAACAAATATATATTACCATTGGGCCTTAAGGATATAGACTCAAATAATGTATATAAAATTTACTTAGATTTGTTCTCTCTTCCCCATCTTCTTCTTTCAGTGTGGATATACTGTAGAATTTACTTACTTTAAAATTTTTTTCTTACCTTACTGGCTATAATCTAATTTACTTACTTGTTAGTATGTGAAATGAAAAATGGTTCCAAATGAATATTTTTTATTACAAAGTACCCATTTTGAGAATTTGCTTTTGCTGAGTTGACTACTTTAAAATTTTTTTCTTACCTTACTGGCTATAATCTAATTTACTTACTTGTTAGTATGTGAAATGAAAAATGGTTCAAAATGAATATTTTTTATTACAAAGTACCCATTTTGAGATTTAAAAAAAAATAATAAGACCTAACAGATTAGTAAATATTTTAAGATAAATACCAAATATATATTTTAGTATTTTTTTTATTTTATTGGTAAGAATTCTTGATAACATTAGACATTGAGCAAACAAAAGACTTCTTTTGGTTTTGTGCCATTTAAATAAGTGAGGGAAATGTCATTGAATGAATATGAAATAAGTTCTTTCGTGATCCAGGATATTTTATTATTTCCATGTGGTTTCCTTTAAAAGGAGAAAATAAATCTATTCTCAACAAGAATTTAAAAATATATTGAGAGATGATTTTGTTTAGTACTTCTTATATGCTTAAGAACTACTCGTTTAAAATGCTGTAAATCAGATTAGAAGTGTCAGTTTTTTAAAGTATCATTTGCCTGTTTTCTTCAGCATGAGTTTGTTTTATTTTTCAGAAACAAAACTGTTTTCTTGACAGATAGGGGTGGCATTGAATTCCTGTGCTAAAGATTAATACCTTACTGAGGAAGGGCTATATTATTTCAAGAATTCTATTTCAAATTGTATTTGTTCTTGTTTGCTTCTCTTGTTGCAATGTACACATTTTCTGTCTTACCAGATAACAGAACTGTTGTACAAGGATGGACGGTATTGCCAGGGGCCTCCAGGAGCAACGGGTAGTGTTTCAATTTTGATGATTGTAACTTATCCACAAATCCAGTCTTCTGTGGAATGATGGACTAGAAGGATTACACTTTGTTTTTGAAAGTGAAATATGAAAACATTTGGCTATAAATATGCTGATGAGCACAGTGTGTGAGGGGGTTTTTTTATTACTGTTTTTAAGCTTGAATTGAAAGACATTGATTTCTGCTTTTGAGATAATGCTTCTTAAAGCACTTAGGGAAGTAGGGTTAAAAAGAAATACTTAGTAGCTTTAGGGACATAGTTGGTAGGTCATTGTGCTACTAATCAGAAGCGGGGGCTCTCTGGCCATTTGAAACCATCAGCTGCTCCAGGGTGGAAGGATGGACAGTCTTCTCCAGTGCAATTTACTGCCTCTGAAAACTCACTTGTAGGGGTCTGGGGGTCAGCTATTAGTTGCAGCTTGACAGCAGTGAGCTGATTGATGTGATTTCAGTGTTTCACAAGGTATAGTTAACTTTAATGTGAAACAGTGAAGATATCTTGAGGCTTTTTTCCCTACTTAAATATACTTTATTATCCAAAATAAATTATTTTGACATTTAATGGTTTTCCTTTTTTGTGTAATGAGGCCTAGAATATATGGTTTTTTACAAGAAAGTACCATTCTTAAAAGTTTAAATTTTCTATCCTAGGTATTAATGTATGGCCCTGTACATTTTATGCTTGAATGCATAAGAAAATTACTGTTGTTACAAAACATCTTTGTTAATCTTGGTTTTTCATTGACTAATAGGCAGCTCTCCAGAGGATTACTGTATCTGCTTATTAAAATTATTTAACTTTCTATGCTCAACACTTAGCAGTCCTTTCTAATTTTACCTTTTTCTCTAAATATTGTCTTAAAATATATTTGTATAGAGGTGTATACAGGGCATTATTTGTTCTCATTATTTGCGATTTGCACAGGAAAGGGGTAAAGCCTTGGGCAGGACCACTCTGTCACAGTGGTGGAAAAAAATAGATTGAAGTAAGATTCAGTACTGAAAAGCTGTCAGTCGGCCTGAAAATAATTAATATTCCTTTCACTCACCAGTTAGATATGTGCTCCCAAACCACATAATCTCTATGCCTCAGTGATCATTGTTGCCATTTCAGAGCCTCTCATCAGGGTGACATCTCACACCAAAATGATTTCTTATAAATTAATCTTGATAACATGACAGTCTCAGTAATTTTAGTGGAATGCTTTCTCTTGTTTTTTTCCACAGAAGCTGTTGGCTATTTTCTTTATAACTTGATTGACAGCATGAGTGACTCAGAGGTACAGGCCAAGGAGGAGCATTTGAGACAATACTTCCATCAGCTGAAGGAGATGGTACCATTTCATTTTTTGCTATATAATGCCTGTCCTGCCTGACATGTATCTATTAGATTTGAAATTGCTGCTTTTAAGAACAAGCAGACCACGTCTCAATGACATGCAAGAGTAGCAGACTTAAATTATGTTTGAGATAATTCATTAGACAAATTTCTATTTGGTTGTCTAAAATTCACTCTCCCCCTTTACTTCGTACAGAATATAAAGATTCCGGAAAATAGCTACAAAGTGCTTCGTAATCTCCTGGATAGCTATCATGTTCCTGAATTGATTAAGGTGTGTTTAAAATAATAAAGTTATCAAATATGTAACTCATAGATACCAAACATATTAAAACTTTATTGAATTATGGTACTTTTGGCAAAAAAATAGTTCTTTAAATGACAACCATTAAAATAAGACTTTTAGTTGATGCTAAATACTTTTTATATATGGGATAATACATTTAAAAAATTAATTATAATGGTTTATAAAACATTTAAATGAGTTTCTGGAACATTTTGGAAATTAAAAAGTATAAGAATAATGAAGTTAGACTTTCAGAATTTGTTCTTTACTTTAATATATTTTCCTATTTATTTCCTAATTCTGTGCCAATTTAAATTCTAATTTCAGGATGTTAATAGTTTGATTGATAGAGAGACTCGAAAAGTAAGTAGACACATTTGAATGGATTCCACATTTCGTAAGCGACTCGACAGCACATAACATAAGAATAATGAAGTTAGACTTTCAGAATTTGTTCTTTACTTTAATATATTTTCCTATGAATTTCCTAATTCTGTGCTAATTTAAATTCTAATTTCAGGATGTTAATAGTTTGATTGATAGAGAGACTCAAAAAGTAAGTAGACACATTTGAATGGATTCCACATTTTGTAAGAGTTAGATTTAATGAGAATTATAGTAATGTCTTTATACAACCAATGGTTACATTTGCTTTTACTATCTTATATACTTTTGAGAAGTTGGTAAAAGTTATTCCCTATTCCCATCCCCCCCCCCCCCCCCCCCCCTCCCCCCCCCCCCCCCCCCCAAATAATATATCTGAGAAATTGACATGCAATCTCAAGCCATCATAAACCCCTGTAGTGGATCTCCAGGTTTAGGAATGTATCAGAGGAAGTTAGTTTAAAGGGGAAAGTGACAAGGGGTACATTTTCTGGTTTTAGTAAATTTCTCCTCCCCCTTCCGCATTTCTGCAGACAGTGCAACATAAATTGTCTGATTTGGAAGCTACACTTGAAAAACTAAAAGCTGAAAATCAACCTATAAGGGATATCCTAAAGCAACTCATATTAACGCTCTGTTCAGAAGAGGTAACATTTGTTTAAATATTTTAAACATGCGATTAAAATTTTTTAAAGTTGTTAGAAAACCGTAAGCAAAGCCAAGTATAATATTTATGGTTTTTACAATTGATTATTAGAAGTCATCCTGTGAAGAGTGCAATTAAATGAAAAGGTTAACTAATTTCAGCTACACCTTGAATGGCATGTTTTCGGGTTGCTGTAGCTTGTTTACGATAATCTGCAAAGTGAATGATAGTAACAGCCGTGATAGGTTTATCATACATGCCAAATGTCCTTTCAAGCCATGGCTCCGGTCTCTTATATCTAGATTGTCAAGCAACTGATACATGCAGTAGTCATTTGCAAGTCAAATACTACTCGGTTGTTAATGCAGGGATTGAAATTCCATTTTCCTGCTGGAAAAAAGCTCTTTCTGAGATAAAGGGTCTCTTGCCTTTTTTCAGCAGGCGTCCAGCTGTACTTTGTGTTCATTTTAGTGTGTGTCTGCAATTTGTGGGATATCACTAGACCTCCGCCCCTCACCCCTGCCTCTAGTTCAATATGATTTGATCATAGGCCTGTGGTTTGAGGGGGGAAAATATCACAGTTGACTTTAGATTATAACATATAGCTATTCTAAAATGTTTCTTCACGTTATCTGGTTATTAAACTAGACTGCAAGGAGCTTCTTAGTGATAGATATTTGTATGGAAATTAGATTGTGGATAGGGACTTACTTGGTAATCTAGAAGTCTTATTTTTTAATATAGTATACAAAGCTAAAACGTCAAATTGCCATAAATAATGGCCTATGTTGCATTATATATAACAAAATTCTTAAACTCTGTGCTGACCTGCCTGCTTTTTAAAAGCGAATAAAAAGACTGAGAACCAAAGTCAATTGAAACAATTTCTTTTTAAAAGGACTATTAACTTTTTCTAAACTCTTAACATTAAAACTAAAAATTGCATATTTTTGCCTTTACATTATTTTCTCTTTTTGCTGCTACTGTTCATTTTAGAATATGCAAAAAGCTCTTGAAATGAAAGCAAAATACAAATCGGACATGGTCGTTGGTGGCTATGCGGCTTTAATAAGTGTGTGCTGTCGGCATGATAATGCAGAGGACGCGCTGAACCTGAAACAGGAGTTGTGAGTACCCTGGCGCTGAGGCTGCTGAGTTACACCCATGTACCGTCCTTGATGAGTCAAGTGGATGGACTATTATTTTCTTACATTGTACAATTTTTAAAAATGCCTTCGTTCTCAGTGTTTTTGAAATGTCAAAAAAGGAGGCTCTTTGGTTTCTTATGGCTTGTTTTCAGTAAGGTGACTTCAAGTAGGAGGAGACATTTCAAGGCCTTAAAACCAAGCATATGTCACAAGATAGGAGTTGGTGACTGGTTCTTAAGGATTGTTGAGTTCTTTTCTATGTTGTAGTCTAAACAAAATTCTGTCCTTTTCTTGCCTGTTGTTATAGGCTTATCAAAATGAAAATACACCTTTTTGGGATCTGCAAGTTCACAAAGAAGTTAGAATTACCAACAATGTCACGAAGCCAAGTGGTTCTTCATTTGTGTTAACAAAGGAATGATCTCTTAATCATTCACCTCTGTCACTTTGAAAATAAGTCATTTGTGTATGACTTGAAAAGTAAATCTGAACTGAAGTGTAGAAGCCATTGTTTAAGTTTAGTAAACTTCTGATAGTTTGTGAAAAGTAACAAAATGAGTATTGCAGTTCTTATTGCAGTTAACTGACTCTAACATAACAAAAATTTGGCTTTAATTTTCAGCGACCGTTTAAATTCATCTGCTGTTCTTGACACCAGAAAGTATGTAGACCTCGTAAGAGTATTGGGGAAACATGGCAAACTTCAAGGTGAGCCTCAGCATATAAGGAAATAATGTGATGCCAGTACCTTGCCACTGGAGTAACATAGGAATTGATACTAATGGTATATCATGTCCTGCAAAGTGCTTGAACACTTTGCATATAAATTTGCATGTGAATCCAACCAGAGCTGCGTGGACATTGTAGGCCATTAGTTTTAATGGATTGACAAGCTTGTCATTTACATTTACACAGCTCAGTGCTTTTTGCATTTCTGCAGCTAGTTTTTATTAGCATTGCTGTTTGGACTGAGTTTGAAGATCATGACTTATGGCACAATTTGCTTATGTGCCTGGACTTTGTTTTTGCTTAAGAAGGTCTGAAGGCTGAACATAAATCCTTTAAACATAGCCTTCTTTGTAAGAATCTGGGTGTTGCAATAATCCTTCTACTTAAGTATTTATTTAGAAATTTGCAGAAAAAGCATAGTTGATTTTCATAGTCTTAATTTTCTTGTTATAATAATGCAAAGCCTCTTAATTAATTGTAGTTGATACATTTCTTAATATTTGCATGTTTCTTAATCTTTTGGGTGTTTTATTCATTTGGGTGTTTTAATCTTTTATTCATAGATAAGCTAGTTTTAATTTTATTATAGTGAAAAATGCATGGAGATTTTATTTAAATATTGATATTACACACTAGACTAGAAATCCTTTCTAACAAAAATTCTTTTAAAAGATTAGCCTGCTTGTTTTAAATCCGTTTTTTGTAAAGTGGTCAAAACATTTTTTCTGTGCCATAATTAAGAACTGCATTATAAAAATGCACTTATTCCATATTCTAAAATGTTTGTTTCTGCCGTCTTAATGAAGCTTAATGAACCTAATGTATTAACATGCAGTCTTTTGGAAAGCTTTCATTGGCTCTGCTTGGCTAATTAGTATCGACATAGCAAACAGGCCCTATCGGTATCAGACCATTAGTCTGGCTGTATATACAGTGTAAACACATCTTTATTATCTGGCCTCCTGACAAGCCATCTGCTGAAGAAACAATGGTGTGATTTAGCAGATGTTAGCACTGAAGGATAAAAGCATCCATTTAGGAGGATCTTACAGCTATAGGGCAGCCTGTACAGGGTTATGTGGTGCCGAGTGGGCACACAGTCCCTATCTATAATTTGTAGTCAAAGTTGCAGGGAAATGATAAAACCATGCTATTGTGGATTTATAATTGTAGTCTCGTTTAGAAATGCAAGTAGTAATTAACTTGAAATCGGCATTATACACTAGAATTTACATTCCTGCTGGGCTTGAAATGCTGTTTTAATAGCAGTTTGTTTTCCCTACATGAAATTACCTAAGGGTCTTTTGTGTTACTTCATTGTAGATGCTATTAACATTCTAAAGGAGATGAAAGAGAAGGATGTTCTTATCCAGGATACAACACTCTTGTCCTTTTTCCACATCCTAAATGGTGCAGCATTAAGAGGTGAAGTTGAAACAGTGAAACAGTTGCATGAAGCCATCGTGACTCTAGGGTTAGCACACCCGTCTACCTCCATAAGTTCCCCATTGGTCACTCTATATCTGGAAAAGTAAGTTAATTGAATTTTAAAAATTTAAATACTGACGTTAAAAGAATGAAGTCTAATTATTTTGTGATTATACTTTGTAAATCCACTGTGGCAATGGAGAAGCCTTTGGAGGTTGTTGCCACAAAATAAGATTTATGTGGTCTTGCTGGCCTTTAAACCAGTAAACCTATGGTCATGTGGTTTACTTCTAAAGTATAATATTGCATGAAATTGAGGCAACTTTGTGCTTTTAAGTGCTTACAATTAATAAATATAAGGAAGAAGGCACTTGGAACTTTTATTTATATATCATTGTTGTGGGAATGAAGTAGAAGCATCTCATACTCCTTTTCTATATATAATATTGTATATATCAGTGCAACTCTTATAGGCTTAATAGATGCTTTAGAAGATGTTATTTATCATTATAGGGGGAAAATGAGTTTTGTAGGCCAAGATTCACTGAGTTTGAAGAGATTTCTATTGTTAGTGCCCACCGAAGGTATTACTTGCAGTGTAATTAAAAATCTATCTTGAATGTTATGTGCCATTGAGTTGCCTGTGACCCATAGTGACCCTGTGTACAGCAGCTCTGAATCATTTTATTGAGATGGTTACATTTAAGTTAATTGTCTTCTTTTCCTTTTGTGTGTGTGTTTTTGGTTATCTGTATGTGAAACTGACTCAGAATAGGGCAGGCTTTAGAGTTGTACATAGATAGGGTTGCTGTGAGTCACAGGTGACTTGATGGCACATAACAACAACATATGTATTGTGTGTGTTTCATTTCCTGTGTCTTAGTCATACAGTTTTGTAATCAGGTTGTTTTGTGAGTGGGGTTTTCTGGTTTTGATCTAGATGTCTCCCAATTAAGAGTCAGGAGAACATATTTCTTGATTCTCTGCAGATTTTTGGTAATTTCTTTTTAGGGAATATGTTAGTTGAACGTGATTTAATGTTGAGTAAAAAAATATAGCATAAAACCCATCTATTACACTATCTTTATGTTAGAAAGTGTGTGCATAAAGATGCACACCCTTACACACATAGATATTTATGGAATAATTCCTTTGCCATTCAGTCAGGAAACAGTCATCAAGTTCAATTGGCCACATCATACCTCCACAATCTCAGCATTACTTCCTTTTAAAGAAATAGTGATTTAAACAATTACTGTGTTATTGAGTTCTCATATTCACAGCCAACTTTATATAGAAATCCTATAATTAATATGCTTCCTACTAGAATTTTTTTGATTGTTTAAAAGACTCATCTCTGCAGATTGCATGTGGAACTCTGTATAGGGATTTGAAAGAAATGGGCCCAGTGCCCAGAAGAATTAGGCCCTCCTCCACTGCTGGGCAAAAATAAAATAATTAACAATGAATACTGGGCCTCGGTACAAAGATAGCTTACAAATAGAAATACTTTGAAGACAGAGGAGATATACATGAAAGTTTTCCTAAAGAGGTCTGCAGATGGGGCTCATGAACCAAGTAGAACTTAGCCAAGTGAAAATGGAAAGAGCATGGAGTTGGTTGCTCTGGGGTAGTATAAAGTGAGTTGACTGCTGGGCTAGTGTACCACAACAAAACTGAACTATCCTTAATTGACCTAAAGAAATCTAAATCAAATCACTGTCTGATTTTTTTTTTTTACATGTTGAGATACATAAGAAATTATTTGCCTAGGATTTTTTGAGGCCTGTTGTGGAGATTTTTTGGCCACCTTTACCTACTAGAGACATTACCTGTCGCAAGATACATTTATGATAATAATAAAAGGCTTTGTTTCTTTTTCAGAGTCATGATATTAATAAAATAGAGAACATAAATTTTACATTTGTAAGATTGCAGAAAACAATGCTTTTCCTACTCAGGGAAATGTAGAGGGAGGGAAATGGATTTTGAAGCTTTTTTATCAATTTTGATTTTCTCAAATGCATGAAAATTCCTAATGAATTCACAGTCCTGGCAAGTACTGTAGTTTTATCGATTGACAACCTTGCCAAAAAATTCCCTTGTTGGATTTGGTTAAGCACGTGTAATCTTCCCTGATCGTGTGTTCATTGACCTCAACAGATAGGCACATCTAGGAGATGAGACTCATTTATTTAAACTTGAGAGAAAATGATGAAAAGCATTTCAAAATATTCTATAAAATATTCATTCTTTCATTTGGATGGTTAAAATCTTTTCTGGAATATCATTTCTAAAACACCAGAAAAAGGCTACCACATATATATTATTATTATTGTAGTTTTAAAACAAATCCATACTTTGAGCTATTTGGAAAGATAATCTTAAAAGATTCAATACATCTTCATTTTGAACTGACTTTTCCCTCACTGGATAAAGCACAGGAGATATTAGTAGAGTGACAATTTGTGTTAATGTAAATTTGTACAATTGAAAGCGTAACGTTTTTTTATTACAGAAATGGTGCATTTTGTTTTTAATTCCCTTGTCGGGAAATCTAGAACATTAACAGGATTATAAAACTATATAGATTTTGATAAGCTCATCTGGTTTTGCATGCTTAAATACTCTAATTGAACAGAAAAATTCATTTGAACAAACTAATAATCATTAATTTAATTTATATTACATTGTCTCTAAGGCTTGTATCTAAATGTAGTCCAGATGAGTGTTCTTTTAAACATTTTTATTTGTAACTATGTCATTTTCAGTTCATTTCTTTTATTGAAAACATGCATGATTTGAGGAGATGACATGGGACCCCCCATATTCGAGACGAAAGAAATGCTTTAAAATAGGTTAAAAGAGCTTTCGGTTAGTCTTTGTGTTATATAGTAAAGGGAGTAAAATTAGTAAAATCTGGGCTGTTGGTTTTAAAGCATAAAAAGTTGTATGCTCTTTCAGGTTTACTTGTTATACCTGATCCATTTTGGTTTCATGGCATATGAAAAATATCTGAAGCTCTTTAACTGGATTATATTAGTGTAGATGATCAAAGCAGTAATTTCTGCTTTTCATGAAGGATTTTGCTGTGCTGCTGTAATCTGTATGCACATATGCATGTCATTTAAATGTACCGCAGAACTTGTGTGTATATATATGTAGTCCTCATAAATTAATCTTTACTTCTTCATAAATATCAGCCAATCACAGTGTAAGTTTTAAAATTAACTGTTAATACTTGGGGTGTTTTGTAAATGTGAAATATACTTTTTTAAAATGTTGGTTATTCTGTTTCATTCTAACACACCACCTTCAATTTTAGCATCTTCATTTGTACTGGATACTTTTATTATTTGTGGGAATACTTGCCTTCTAGAGTAAAACTATGTACTGAAAGGAAATTAAGGAGGTTTGGCGCTTTCACTCCATTATTGCAATTAAGAATTTAGCATCATCAATGCCAAAGGACAAAAGTGGTTCATTTGCCCTAGGGGGACAGGACAGTGATAAGATGATTTTTCGTCAAGGATCATTGGGTCGTAATTAAGTTACATTCATGGCTATTGCTTTTTGAAGGATGATTGGTAAATGACAGGCTTCATGTGCTTAGTACGGACAGTGTTCACTAGGGTTTTTTCTCCCTCTGTCAGAAAATCCTGTTGAGCCTGATAATGTAAATGTGGCATTTTATTCTGAACAAAAGAGCAGGGAAATGAGCTATCTTGTCTAATCATTCAGTTGTTTAACACCGACTTCCAGTTTAGACTCAATTGGCTGGAAAGCACTTGACATGTGAAGTTAGTGCTGTTCGGAACGCATGTTTGAGTAAATTTTAAAGTAAGTGACAGCTAAATTGTACCTAGGGAAATTACAAAGCCTTCAACACAGTTAATTTTTTGGGGAGGATTAGTTGTAATTGCAACACCAGTCTCCTTGAAGATTTTTCATTTATAGATGATGAACAAGGAAAAAAAACATTTAGCTCTTTCAAGGGCTGGTTTTCTTAACAGAATAATTTTTGTGAGTGTGATGGTTGGTGTCTCCTGAATTTGTTTCTCCTCATATTTGAACACCTGCTTAAGATTTCGGGAATACTTTGGGTTTGGGGTGTGAAGGGGATTTTTTGGCCAGTGCTTTTCACCTACCTACCTTATTTTGAACTTTTTTCTCCTCAAATTTCTTTTCTCTTCTAATGATGTTAGTCTTGAGATCATTTTTCAGTCCATAAGTCCTTTTAGTACATTGCTACCTCGCTAACATTTTGTGCCTAATGTGGAAGCACTTTATTCCAATTAAACATTACTTGCTTTCTTTTTTTAAAAATATGTACTCTCTTGGGTTAGAAAGATACTTGCTTATAGGTGAGTAGTTAGCTGTGTTTGAATTAGAAGTGTTTTGTTTCCTGATGCCTTTATGGAGATATTTTCATGGTAAGTGGGTGCATGGTTAAGATGTAAGCAAGTCCAGTAAGCTTACATCTTGACCTAGGGTTTTGTTTCTGCCATTGATACCGTCTTATTTTTTGGTTTTGTAGTAAGAACTGAAACAAAAGATAGCATTAGATTTGTCCCCTGAACTTTTAAGCTTGCCTTTCTGGCTATTTCTCCAATTGTAATAATGAAAAATTCTAATTCATAGTAGTCTTTTATGGGAGAAGAGTGAGCAGTCTCTTCCCATGCGATTAACTGGCTCTGAAAACATGCCAGAGGATCAGGTATGGGTCGGTTCCAACTCTGGTACACAGCAACAACAGTAGTCTTATATGTGGTGATGTTTCCTTGAAATCTGAACTGTGAGTTCTAGAGTTTTTGGTGTGAACTAAATGATGCCTTTAAGGTTAATAAATAGAATTCTTTTGTAAGTGTTCACATTAGGTATATGTATTCTTAAACTTTGGAATTATTTTTGGAAAAAGACATTTGGCTGGGAAAGGTGGAGTTAGAAAAGCAGAGCAAGACCATCGGGACAGAGTTGCTGTAACAGTGGGCCTGAGCGTGTCAGATCGTGAGGATGGTACAGGACAGGACAAGGTTCAGATCTGCTCATAGGGTCTCTGTGAGTTCAGCTCAGCGGAATCTAACATCACTGTTAATGCTGTGTATCTTTATTTCACAGGTTGATAGAATTTTGGTAAAGTGTCTGTTAAGTTAGTTTGCATCAATCAGAATACTATTACTTAAAAAAAATAAATATTTTCTAAGTAACTTTATATATTCGTCTGAAATGGTTTTTTGGAGTGATGGTTGTTTTGTGCCATTGAACCAGAACTACTTCAGAGTATGTGGTTCAAGTCCTCTAGCTGCTCAGTGGGAAAATGTAGGCAGTCTCCTATAGTGATTTACTGCCTCTGAAAATCTACTGGCTGGTCAGCTACAAGTCAGCTCCTCCTTGACAGTAAATAATAGCAACAGATCGTGTAGGAGGAGATTGCTCATATTTCTCCCATAGAGCAGGTGGTAGATTTGAACCATGTACCTTTGGGACATACCACACTGTGGTATCAAGAACAGCATTCTACAGGGTTTATTTTGGTTTTGTGCTATTCAAAGTTGTTGAAAACAATTACATTTTAATTTTTTAATTAGAGTGAAAATTTACGAATAATACTAATTTTCCATATAATCATTCATAGGGATTTTGTTTTATAACATTACGTGCCATTCATTAATTACAGTGTCTGAACGTGTGTCCCTACATCTAACTTATCTATTATTTTTTATTCCCCTTTTTATCCTTTTATCCTTGTTTTAGCTCAAAGATTGAATCTGTGTAGAAACCTTTTCTTAGCTTTTTACTGCTCTTCTATCATAATTATAGTTTTGTGACTGACGGATGTCACTCAGCCAAATTTGTTCTACATTTACCCACATTGTGCAATATTTTACACAGCTTCTTCATCGCCTTTTAGTGATGCGTAATATTCTATTGTGTACACCACAATTTCTTTAACCAATGATGGACACTTGAGTTAAAACACTATAAATATTTTTGAGATTAATTTCTAACATTTGTGATTCATTTATACATAAAATTAAGTTATGATAATAAGAATGAAGAAAGAGTTTGGAATCCAGAATTAATGTTAGAACAAGAGTTCTTCAAAGGATTATTGTAATTTTAGACTTGTTGATGACCCTATGAACAGTGTATCTGTAGAACCTTAAACTGATTTTGAGTGTACAAAGAATATTGTCACAAGACTAGAAATACTTGAGTGGCGGCATGGTGGCTTACCTTTGGGCAATAAAATTTGTCGCCTTTTGATATTTCCCTGTTCTTACTGATTTTATCTTCCCTAATGTAAATGGTGCTTTCACTGTTTATTCCCCTCTGCCTACTTGTTGATCATTTTCACTACTGGTCCTAAACGTACTTGAATAGATTAACCAAAGAGCACAAATGCATAAAATCTTAGAACTGAGGATGAACTGTAAAATCTTTGTCTTTAGCCATTATGACAATCTACATCTACATCACTTCTTGGAAGGAATCGAACTGTGTATAGTACACACTCATTGGAATGGAAATCCAAAAGTCATGAGGATACAACTACTTGCATAAGTAAAGTGACTTTTAGATATTGTTTTCTTCATCACTCAGATCTTCACATTAATAATAAAGATTAGTGAAGACATCAAGTTATGCAAGCAATGTAAATTTTAATCTTTTTTTTTTAAGTGGTAAGCAGCAGCCATAAGTCAAAATGTTGATAATAGGAATTGAGAAAACTGCTCATTTTTAGTTCATTTCTGTGTTCACTACACCTTGGATGAAGTGTTTCATTGTAGATATCTAACTCATTTTGTTGACAGCCTAAGGGGAGTAACATTTGTTCTTAAAATTACTAACAAATACACGTATTTTTCCATTTTGCTATTCTTTTCTCTTGTTCTTCTGAGCATGCATAATCTTCAAATGCCTATATTTGGAGACCAAAACTATTAGCATGTCTCTTTGATTGACAGAAGAATTATTTATTCATTTATTGATAGCCTTGACCTGACGTAGAAGAAATACAATTGAGACAATACTATTCTAGTTTGGGAATTGATCTGAAAAACCATATCTTGCCATTAAGAATAAAACAACAAAACAAATCAGTATGTGTTTCTTTTATTCTTAGAAATGTTTTAGTAGTTTTCCATTAAATACAACTGTAGAATGGCAAATAACTGAATGTGTATCTGAAGCTCAGGAAAATACTGATTATATAAAGCTTTATATCATATGTGGTAGCTATTGTAGCATTTCTCTTGTATGACAGTAATCTAGCCTGCAACATCTACTTGCGGTTTTGAAATTAACCTGTAATTTAGTCTTCACCCCAAATGACAAAAATTGAAATGACTCTGTGGGGTGCCAGAAGATGCACTGTAAACAGGGCTTCGGAAGGGGCTAAGGTAGAGCTCTGTCAGGGTAGCTCCATTTACACTGTGTCAGTATTATTGCAGCAAAATTAATACTTCTCCATTTTATTTTACTTTTTAGTACAGTTTAAAATCTTAATCTAGATAAAATAGTAATTCAGGCCAAGTAACGTAACATTTATATAATGGACAAAAATATTAGAGTTTTAACAGAAAATAAGGCTTTTCTTCCTTTTTGGAAACTGTTGCACATATGAACACATGTCTCTCCAAAGAGTGTCTTGGTTGTCACTAGATCTGTTTTAGTCCTTGTCACTAACCAGGTTTCCTTGTTTTCATTAATATTCTTTCAAAACTTTTTTATTCCAAATAGCACCACATTCTTAGATTGAGCAAATAACTTTTAATAGAGCTTTAATGTCTTTTTAAATGTATTGAATTGAAAGAGCGATGTCTAGGATTCCTGGTTCTAGTATCCGCTTTTATTTAGGATCCTTAGGCAAAATAATCTCTTATTGCCTCAGTTTTCTATTTAAAAATAAAAGGAACTGGACAGGAATTTGATCACATAGTCCCTATAACTAACTCTTCCAAGGTCTTATGTTTCAAAGCAGTCGTTCTTATATTTAATAGTTTTGCTTTATAAAGGAAATAAAAGGGTACTTTTTGAGAATCCACGTGAATAAATTTGCATATTTTGAAAGAAACTCTGGCTTAATTTTTTTAACTAATTGTTATATAAGACAAGCAGTATCTTTATAATGGGAAAGACTTTTTAAAAAAAATTGTTAAATAAGAAATTATAAAATCTCTGATATTTCACTGACCTACAAATACATCCTACTGTTAGCACCAGTAACTTCCAGGTATCTGTAAATTTGTTGTTTTTCCTCTGCTTACCTCCGAAAGCTGAAAGTATCTGAGCACACCCTGTCAAAGTTGACAGATACTTGAGAGTTCCTTGAGGGCTACTAATGTAAATTTAATAAAAATTTCAAAACATGAAATTACTGAAGAGTACAAACTTACATTATTGGGTAGAAAATATATTTGATATTGTTCTTGCTTTTAGAAATAATATCTTCCTACAGTAGCTTTTTACACAAAATCATATTTTACTTGTCACTAGATCTGTTTTAGTCCTTGTCACTTAGAGTGTACTTTGATCTGGACTATTTTTAAAGTACCACAAGACAAGCTAAATAGTCACAGATGCAGCAACAAGAGTCCAGGACTGCTAACGGTATCTGTATTCTGACTCTATGAAGATTGCCTTCAGTAGCACCCAGTCATGTGTATTTTAATCTTTAGAAACCATTGTTGACGATATAAACAGAATTTGAGTTATTTTATTCATTGTTAATTGTTGATGTTTCTAAGGGATGATATACCTGCTGCTCTTGAGGCTTCCCTTGACTGCTTTCAAAAGTACAAAATACTACCAAGAATTCATGATGTCTTATGCAGACTGATTGAGAAAGGCGAGACGGATCTGATTCAGAAAGGTTAGTCACCTTTGAATGTCTTACTTAAGTGCCTGCCTCTTAAATGTAATGCATTCCTATGAAGAGACTATTAGAGAAGTTTTTTATATTCACGATTTCATTTTTATATTTGTTTTACTCTTCACACTGCCAGTTCTCTTTTAAGGCCTAAATATCATACATACCTTCTGTGAGTGAAGGAATATGGTAAAAGTCTGGTTGATAAAGCTGTAATTTTTAAATTATTTTAAACACTTGTTTTTAAGATGGCTAGTTATCCAGAATTTCATGCTGTATTGTGTCCTTGTGTGGTGGTTTTTCATCTATTTTCTTCTTTCTTCTCTAGCAATGGACTTTGTGAGCCAAGAACAAGGTGAAATGACGATGCTCTATGATCTTTTCTTTGCCTTCCTACAAACAGGAAATTACAAAGAAGCCAAGAAGATCATTGAGGTATGATTTTAACTATAGCATTCTAATTGTACAGCTATTTAGACTTTTAATTAGAATACATTTAAAATTTTTAACCTTTAATTACACTTGTTCTGATTCATGTTAATAGCATTCAATCCCAGTAGGGGGGAAAAAAAGAACCAACTTGGCCAGCTTCTTTCTTGTGTATAATTACAGTTCAGAAAAGGCAGTCTGGTTGTATATTGAATTTGTTTCCTTACTTTGTTAAATTCACTGTTATATATCAAAATGATATTTGCATATTAAGTCTTGGATTGTGGAACAATTAAATTAAACTGGCATTCCTGGGTGTAAAGTTGCTAATCCTCTTTGCCAAGGAATTCTTTGTTCTTAAAAGCAGTAGAATTTAATTTGCTGCAGACCATGCTCAGATTTATTTGTAATGCTTGTCTACAAGTTAATCAGCCAAACAGGTGCTGTCTGCAACTGTTTGCCATTTAATTTAAAATTTCTTCTTCTTTTTTTTTATAAACTACCATAAGCAGCTTATGGGAAGTGGTAGGTGACAAACCTGGCCTTTTTAGGATTAGTGTATTTTATCTGTACTTGATTGAAATTTTGCTTACTGAAATTGATAAGTCAAAGGGCAACTGCTATTCTTTGCCCACTAAAGAAAACAAAATGTCTGACAGAAAACTTACCTGTTGTCTTAAGAAACGACATTGTATCTTGTGATTAAAACTGTGAAGTTGAAAATACATCAGTAATCTGTCTCTCCAGATCATACTTTTCCCAGAAACACCCATGCATGAGGAATGGGAAGCACCTTTGTTTTATCAGAAAATGAAAATGTAGGCATAAAACTTAGAAAATTATTATTTCACTGAATGCTTTAAAGAAAAGTCTGCTGAAAAAAGAGAACTAGGAAAGCAATTCAGAACTTTTTTCTGTTTCCTGTGATTCAGTCTACCCGCTGCAGCCATGGACAGATGCTTTTGTAGCTTAGGCATATCACTTGAGTTTCCTGGAAATGGTTTAAACTCTTGAGCTAAGTAGGCGCAGTACTTCTGAAAATGAGGGGGTGCCATATGCTTGTTGAATTTTGTTCTCTGTATATACTGTCAAATACAAGAATGGTTACCCATGGTGAACATTGTTTGGTGGAGCTCGCCGATTCAAATAAGCCTGGAAGCAGGACTGGCATCCATTTCAGAAATTGCTTGTTTCTGGAAACCCTATGAATCTGGAGCAAGGATGAAAGTTATACAAGTGTTCAGGTCTTGCATTCATAGGGTTGCTGTGAATCATCTATGACTCAACAGCACTTAACAACAGCAACAAAATATATGGTGTCAGGATTAGACATAGATTAGAAATGAAGAGAGTCTGTAGAAGGAATTAATGTGTTGCTCTTGGGTGTAGTGTACAGAGCCAAAAGCATACTTGGCTTTCCCTTTGCCTTCTACGACTTAGATAATAATGGGTAAGTTACTAAATTTCCATTTCCTTATCTATGAAGGGAAACATAATGCCTGTCTTTACATTTCAGTCACATAAAATATGAAAAGCAGTGTCTTTGTTTCCTGAATTGTAGTAGGTGAATTGTAGCAGCACATAACTTTCTCGTTATATTCTTATTACCCCTCAAAGGTACAATTTGAATTGTCTTCTTTAGCCTTTCCACTTTATTCTCTGAATGATGCTTAGTAGGTAGAAGGAGACAGACTCTTAAATTTGTTTACCATTGTGTATTGAGGGTAATCTTTTAGGAATTGCGGCTAATACCAAAGACCTTTCATGATTTATTAATGGAGAATCTGGTAAATGACCTCCTCTGTCATTTTGTTGCTGTTAGGTGTCATCGAGTCTATTACAATTCATAGCGACCCTATGAACAAAAGATCTGAACCCTGTATGTCCTGCACCATCCTCACACTTCCTGACACACAAGAACCCATTGCAACAGTCTCTGTGTCAGTCCACCTGGTTGTGCATTACCCTCCTCCCCAGTTTGTTCTTCTTCCCCGCCATCCGAATGTCTGTTTTAATTGTCCAATTGCCACAGTGCTTGTCAAAGTCAGTTCTGATTAATCTCCTTTGTCGGTGTGTCCTTTGCCATTCCCTATCACTCCTCCCTGAGAGAGACTTCACCCTGATTCATAAGGAAAAGGGGATGGCGTATTCTCTTAGCTACTTCCTGCTGAAAAGGGACGCTGTGGGTTTCAGGGTGAAGATCTTCTCTCACTACTCTAAAGGGCCCCTTTGGCAGTAGGAAACACATAGACTATTATGGAGATTGATTTTGGAATTCAGATGCACTGTTACCAATTGTGCATATCCTTGAATATGTATCATGGGGGTGTTGCAACCTAGAAGACACAAATTTAACAAGTTATAAGTACATGAGTCAAAAATTATGGAAAAGTAAAAGAAAAGATTCTTTCATTGTTTTACAAACCCTCCCCCAGGTCCCCTCCACCGTGTAGCCCTCTCTCTAGACTCCTGTGATGACAGAAATACCTAGTCACATATCTCTTTTACAGTTTTCTCCCTCCTCTGTTTCAGTGCAGTATACATTATTGAACACATCTTACTCAGTCTCTTCCCCAACCCTGAGGTTAGTCCCATTCTACAACAGTGGCATCATGTAATATTTGTCCTTTTGTGACTGGGATATTTCACTCAGCATAATGTTCTCCATAGTCAACCATTTTGAATAATATTGCATGAGTTCCTTGTTTTTTAATGCAGCATAGTATTCCATTGTGCAAATATACCACAGCTTCTGTAGCCATTCGTTTGTTGATGGGCACTTAGGTTGTTTCCAACTCCTTGCTATTGTGAACAAAGCTGCAATAAACATGGGAGTGCATATATCTGCTTGGATGTCAGCTATGGTCTCTTCAGGGTATATTCCCAGTAGTGGAATTGCTGGGTCAAATGGTATCTCTATTTGCAACTTTTTGAGAAAGCACCATACTGCTTTCCACAGGGGTTGCACCATTTTACACTCCCACCAACAGTGAATCAGGGTTCTAATTTCTCCACAGCCTCGTCAGCATTTGTTGCTTGCTGTTCTGTTAAATTTTGCTATTTTGACTGGGGTGAAATGATTTCTCATAGTTGTTTTAATTTGCATCTCTCTTAGGGCTAGGGATTTTGAGCATTTCTTCATGTGCTTGTTAGCCATCTGAATGTCGTCTTCAGTGAAGTGCCTGTTCATATCCTGTGCCCATTTTTCTATTGGATTCTTTACCTTTATCTTGTTGTGGTGCTCAAGTATTTCATAAATTCTGGCTATAAGTCCCTTATCTGATACGTTATTACCGAATACTTTTTCCCAGTCAGTGGCCTCCCTTTTTACCCTGTTGGAGAAGTTCTTGGATGTGCATAGGGATTTGAGTCCCCTTTACAATTTTAAACCATGCAGTTTTCCCTACTTTGTTCTCAAAACAGTCTCCCTTATCCCTTGGACTAGAATAGCAGGATATTAAATGCTATGAGAATATACTCATGGACATTTTCAAGTTGTGTGTGTTTTGTTTTTTTTTAAATGAGAAATTGTAAATGAATTAAAGGTAAATTCTTTGGGGTGGAAACATCACTTTCCACCTCTAAGGATTTTAGAGTTCTTAATATTTTCTAAGGATTATTAAAAAGAAAGTAATAATGATTAATACACTTGTTGTTGTTAAGAGCCATCAAGTCCAGTATGACATATAACGACCCTATGAGCGACGGATCAGAACCCTCTTCTGTCCTGTGCCATCTTGTTTTCCCCCTGTCTTTATACTTCTCACACACCAGAACCCACCACAGCTGTCACCGTGTCAATCTACTAGAACGAGACATCAATTCTTCTGTCATCCTTATTCATCGTCCAGCTCTCAGATGTATAGCAAGTAGTAGAAAAGACCATGGCCTGAATCAGATGCGCTTTAGTCCTCAAACTGACATCATAACGCTCAATAATTTGGAGAAGTCTTTAACTGCCGACTTTCCCCAGTGGAGTGTATCTCCTTATTTTCCCTGGTGCGACAGCCTCTTCTAAATCCTGCTTGAACTTACGACAGTTCGTATTTATGTATTGCTCTAGTTGTTTTTGAATAATCAGCAGTATTTTGCTTGCATGTGATATCAAATTGTCCAACAGTTTCCACATTCAGTTCTCTCGCCTTTCTTGGGAATGGGAACATATAGGGATCTCTTCCATTCTGTTGGCCAGACAGCTTGTCCTCCAAATTTCCTGGCATAGACTGGTGAGCACATCCAGAGCTGCATCTGTTAATTCAAAAACAAGTCAGTTGGTATCTCATCGATTGATTCCTAGGGCTGCTTCCCCCACCCCACCCCAATACCTTCAATGCAGCTTCCATTTCTCCCTCATGACCACTGGCTCCTGTTCATATGGTACTTCCTAAATTTTTCCAGTGTCAGGGACTCGTGTGAAGCTCCTTGGTTAAAAAGTGTTACCCTACTGTTTAAAAGGTTCAGGGTACTTGAATGCTTATTCTTTGTGTGGGAAGTTAGGGTGGAATTGTTGGGGAGAATTAAATATGAGATGGTGTTTGATGGAAATGGCATTAGAGGTAGAGAAATTACCATAAAGAAAAGAAGTTGAGGTGGAAAAGAAAGATCAATAAACTTTTCCATGTCATTATATGACTTGTAGGAAGTGTTTGAAAGGATAGTTGTTCTTAGAGTTTTAGAGACACAGTCTCCTTATTATTGTTGTTGTGTACTGTCAAGTCAAAACCAACCCAAAGCTGACTCTCCAGTGAGTTTTCAGAGGCAGTTAATCGCAAAGAGATTGCCCATCCTTCCCTGGAGCGGCAGGTGGCCTCAAACGGCATGCCTTTGGGATTGCAGTGCAACTTCTTGCCACTTAGCCACCAGAGTCTTAGAGATGCTTTAATCAGAATAAAGAAGTTGGGGTTAATTTAGAAGACAGAACATTTATACTGTTGTTGTTGTTGTTGTTCTTGATTGCCTTCAAGTCAAGCATGACTCATAGTGACCCTGTAAACAAAAGGCCTGAA